CCCAGCTGGCCTGGAACTCACTATGTAGACCAGGCTGGCCTTGAACTCACAGAGATCCACCTGCCTCTGCCTCCCAAGTGCTGGGATTAAAGGCATGCACCACCACGCAGGCAAAATATTATTTTTTTGAAACAGAATCTCATTATATAACTCTGGTTCCAGGACATCCGATGTCCTTTTCTGGCTTCCATGGGCATTGCATACATGCAGGCAAAACACTCATACACATAAAAAGTAAATTAAAATTTAAAAAAAAATCTGGCCTTCCTTGGCTTTGGTCCTGACATGCGTGATGCCGCCTTCCCTGCAGGGGTCGGTAGTGCAAGGCGCTGCTCTCCAAACTCAGCACGGGCTGGAGGTTGATGGCTTGCTCTGGCCCCTATTGTCCATGGGACAGTCAATCACTCTCCAGTTTGTATGTGTGCCCCGGCCATGTCTGTTAGTTGAATGAAAAGCTAGAATACTCCACTTACTTCTAGAAGGTTACTCATATATCCTTTCACTTCTGAGAGAGCAACAGGACCTCAGCAGGTTAATGCTCAATTTCCTTCCGTTCTATTTCCTTCCATGGAGCTTGGCCACAGGGCCAGGAATGGCCAGTCTAGACTTTTCTCTAGGGATCTGAGGCCTTTATGGATGTAGTAGTTACTTTTCTCTTTGCTGTGACAAAATAGCTGACAGAAACAAGTTAAGGAAGGATTTATTTGGCCTCACATTTTTAGAAAGTTAATGTCTATCATGGTGGGGAAGGTGTGGCAGTAGTTTTGGGGAGTGGGGTGCTTGACAGAGATTCCCCCACATTGTGGAGGACCAAGAAGCAGAGAATAGAAGTCTAGAATCTGGGAGAATCAGATAGAACCCTCAGAGGTCAGCCCTTAGTGACCTCTTCCACCAGCCAGGCTCTGCCTCCTGAAGGTGCTCTAGATTTCTAAATAGTACCACAAACTGGGGACCAAGCATTTAAAACATGAGCTGCAGGAGACATTTCAACTTCAAACCATACAGGGGCTGGAGAGATAGCTCAGTAGTTAAGAGCAGAGGTCTGGTTCCCATCACCCACATGGCCACTCACAACCCCAGTTCCAGTAGATCCGATGCCCTCTTCTGGCCTCTTCGGGCATTGCACAACATAGGCACACCTACATACATGCAAGTAAAATACTCATACACATAGAATTAAAAAAAATAAAATAGTAAAAAACAGATTCAAGCCGTAAGAGTGGGACTTAAAAAAAAAACTAAACTCTTCACTTTAAAAAAAGGTGTCTTGCTGAAGAGATAGCTCAGTGGTTAAGAGCTCTTGCTGCTGTTACAGAGAACCCAGGTTCAGTTCCACACACCCACAACAGGCAGCTCACAACCCTGTAACTCCAATTCCAGTCAATCTGGTGCCCTTTTCTGGCCTCTGTGGACACTGCACTCACGTGGTGCACATAAACTCATGTAGACACACACGTATACACATAATAAATAAATAAAATTTTTAAAAAAAGTGTGACTATAGGATTAACCACCCCCAACACTTCTCCCTATAGCCCAACTGATGGGGTACCCCACTGCTGATGTACAGTATGATGGGTGTGGCAGCTAAGGGTGAAGCCTGACTGCTCCCCTGCTCAGCCCAGCCTTCCTTTCTCAGGGAGGGCTCCTCTTCCTGCCCTGCCCTGCCTGCTCTGATCGCACAGTGGAAATTCCTCTTCCCACACTCCCTCATATTCCAGTCAGGAGGGTCTGTAACACCCACACTGCTCTAATTGCCACCTCTCCTCTTATTATCCAGGCTAATTATGCACCTGGAACTTCCTGAGAGTGGCTTGGGCAGGCTGTCTCCCTGGGGCTTTTGTCCATGGGAGGCTGTCGTCTGACTTCACGGGGGAGATATGAAATTCAGATCTGCTACCAGCAGCACCAACAGTCAAACAATGAGTAAAATGAAATCATTAGGAGCAGCTTACAGAGCAATTGACCACTACAGACAGTTACATTTTCTTTAAAGATTTATTTGTTAATTTTATTAAAGTAGGTGTGTTTGGGGCTAGAGAGGTGGCTCAGCAGTTAAGAGCACTGGCTGCTCTTGCAGAGAACGAGGGTTTGGTTCCCAGCACCCACATGTGTTTAATTTCTAATATGTAAAAGTAGGAAAGGAAAAATATATGGTTAGCCTCCATGCCTGACCTCAGCTTTGATCATTAAGAATTTAGTGGCTACTCACATTTCAGCTCTATCTCAGTCTCTGGGTTATTTTGAAGCAAATCTCAGAAAATTACATAAGGTAGAGATGTGATTCATCTCTCTATATTTTTAGGAATGCATTTTTGAATAATAAAGCTGCTTTTTAAAATACAACCACAACCAGGCATGGCAGCGCATGCCTTTAATTAAGCCTAGCACTTGGGAGGCAGAGGCAGGCGGATCTCTGTGAGTACAAGGCCAGCTTGGTCTACATAGTGAGTTCCAGGACAGCTGGGGCTAGAGGGAGACCCTGTCTCAAAAAAGACCAAAAAAAAAAAAAAAAAAAAAAGGAAATCTAAGAGGTAATTAGAGAAATCTAGCGTAAGTAGGGACATGTTAATATTGAGAAACTATTGGGGAATTGTTTTTTTTAATATTTTATCTATTATTTTTATGTGTATGAATGTATTGCCTGCATGTATGTAAGTACACCTGTGTTGTGCAATGTCCTCGGAGTTCAGAAAAGAGCATCCTGGATCTGGAATTATGGACGGCTGTTGTGGGTGCTGGGAATCAAACCCAGGTCCTCTTCAAGAGCAGTCAGTGCTCTTAACTGCTGAGCCATCTCTCCAGCCTGGAGAAATTGTTTTAATAGATTTCCTTTTTGAAAAAATTACTTTTATCTATTTAGGTGGTGCTGGGGATTGAACCTAGGTACTCTGTCACTAAGCCATACTCGGCCCAGTTTTTCTTTTAAGAAGTATTTAATATTAAAAATTTTTTAAATTAGAATTTGTAGTTGCCTATAAAATAATGGGTCTCTTTATGATGTTTTAAAGAATATTTTATTATTTTTATGCATATGAGTTTATTGCCTGCATGTGTGTAAGTGTACTCCTGTCATGCAGTGCCTGTGGAGGTCAGAAGAGGGCGTTGGATCCCCTGGAACTGGAGTGATAGATGGTTGTTAGCCACCATGTGGGTGCTGGGAATCGAACCTAGGTCCTCTGCAAGAGCAGCCAGTTCTCTTAACTACCGAGCTGCCTCTCCAGCCCTCTCCACCTTGTTTATATTTGTTTTGTTTCTTTGTTCTTTTTTATTTTTTTATTTTTTGGTCTTTTTGAGACAGGGTCTTCCTGTAGTACCAACTTACCTGGAACTTGCTATGTAGACCAGGCTGGCCTTTATCTCACAGTGATCTGCCTGCCTCTCCTCCATGCTGGGATTAAAAGCGTATGCCACCACACCCAGCTCCTCCATGAGTTTTGAGACAGGGTCTCTCACTGAACTTGGAGCACATCCATTTGACTAGGCCGGCTGGCCAATGAGCTCGGGGAGCTGCTTATGGAATTGTCTTAGCTCTGCTCCCTGCTGGAGTTATAGATGTGTGGCCCAAGACCAGCTTTTCATGTAGGTGCCGGGAACTGAAACTTAAGGTCCCCATGCTAGTGTGGCAGGCACTTGATTAGTTCCCTGACCACCTGTGGCATGTGCAGAGCCTCGTGAAACCATCTCCGTCAGCTTCAGCTTTCTCACATTACAGCTCCCACTTTCTCTTTCCCCTTCTTTCCCTGCAGTTCACTGTAGAAGAAATCAGGCCCTGTGTGCTATGGATTCTGCCATTCTCAGGCGTGGCCTGTGCTGGTGTTTTAACAGGGTCTTCTCTTCCTGAAATTGGTACTTAAATCCAGATCTTAATCTGGCCCAGTCTTTTATGTTTTGTTTTATGTTTTGAAACAGGATCTGCTTTGTAAATTAGGTTGGCCTTGAACTCTCAATCCTTCTGCCTCCTGAGTGCCAGCCACACCTGGCCTCGGTCTTGTTTTCTTGAAGAGGGGCAAGGACGCTTCACCAGCCATGTTGTCCTTTTCCCCATCAGAAGGTGCTTCCCTCTCTTGTGAGGAATCATGAGTTCCTGTGAGGGGACAGGCAGTACTACAGTCTGTCAGCTACTGAGTGGTCTTCGGGGGGGTATACCTACTCACACTGGCTGTGCTTTCAGCTCTGGCCTCCAGGAGGCAGCGGGATGGGGCAGTGTTCATAGAGACACCTAGAGTTGGGATCAGTGTTCTGTCACTCACGACAAAGTGACCCTGGAAAAGTTAACACTCCTCAACCTCAATTATCTTTTTGTACAAGTGGAGATAGTGCAGAAGCCACCATCTAAGCATTTATTGAGGTGGTGGCTAAGTAGACACTCAGTATTGTGTCTAACACTTAGTGATGCTCAAAAAATAAGAGGCCTGGCCCAGAATCAATCACACAAGCTGGTCTGAGATGACATTCACAAAGAACGTCTCTTCTTACTTTTCTTAAAGAATGCAGTGTTCTGGAAAGCTGTTCATAGTTATTAAAGCGTGGTCATAGATATTAGATATCCATTGTATTATGTATCTGCTTTTTAAAATAGTTTAAATTTTTATTTTATGTGTGAGTGTTTTGCCTGCATGTGTGTCAGTACATCCGTGTGTGCAATGTCTGTGAAGGCCAGAAGAGGGCCTCAGGTCCCCTGCAACTGAAGTTTCAGACAATTGATAACCACCATGTGGGGGCTGAGAACAAAACCCAGGGTCTCTGAAAGAACAGAAAGTTCTCTTAACTGCTGAGCCGTCTCTACTGCCCCCACCACATAATTTTTTTCATTTTTTAATTATGTGTATATGTGCATGTATGTGAGCATGCCTGTGGAGGCCAGAGGCATTGGATCCCTGTGGAGCTGGAGTTAGAAGTGTTTGTGAAACACCTGACCTGGTGCCAAGAACTGAACTTGGGTCCTCTAGAGGAGCAATATGTGCTCTTAATTGCTGAGCCATCTCTCTAGCCCCTACATGTCTGCCTTTTGTTGTTGGTGGTGGTTTTTTGAGACAGTGTCTCCCTGTAGCTCCAGATGGCCTGGAACTCACTATGCAGACCAGGCTTGATCACATAGAGATCTGCCTGCCTCTGCCTCCCAGGTGCTGGGACTAAAGATATGTTCCACCAGACCCAGCATATGTCTGCTTTTTGGTCACAATATATATTGATGATGATGGTGGTGGTGGTAGTGATGAATTTATACTGTTGGGGACTGAACCTCCAGAGCCTTGTGCATATTAGACAAGAGCTCTACCACAGAGCCAGAACCCCAGTCCTCTCTGTGGCCATTTTCTAGCATCCCTCTGCAGGTCCCCTCCAGGGCAGATTCCAACTGAGCATCTTTGGAGCCATCGTGCTGCAGAAACCATTTGTGTCGTTCTCTGTAATGCTAACCTCCCCCCGTACCCCCTTATTTTTACGTTTTATTTTTCAGGTCTTAGTACCCTGCAAAGGAAGCCTATCAAGCAACATTCAGGCCACTTGTCAGTTCGAGTCCTACATTTTGATACCTACGGAAGGACATTTTCAGACCTTGGATGGAAAGGTATGCATTTGTAGGGTGGCTCATTCAAGTGTTTGGGGGGGCAGTTAGAGGCAAGAGAATGCTGTCTCTCATCCTTTTATGTCTTTGGCATTGAATGTCAGGTTTTTTGTTTGTTTTGGGGGAGGTTTTTCAAATGTTACTTATTTTTATCTTATGTGCATGTTTTGTCTGCATGTATGTAAGTGTACAATGTGTACTTGCAATGCCTGTGGAAGGCAGAAAAGGGCATCACATCCTCTGAAACTGGAGCTATGGATGGTTGTGAGTTGCCATGTGGGTGCTGGGAACCAAACCCAAGCCCTCTGGGAGAGCAACCAGTGCTCTTAACTGCTGAGCCATCTCTCCAGCCCCGAAACATCAATTTTGATGTGCGTTTGGGGAAGGGCTATGGGCCCCTTGCCTTTTTGTGGAGCCTTGGAGATGAGAGGTCATGGTAACAGTGGGACCCAGGCTCTGCCACAGTGGCTGGGGTAGGACTAGCTGTCTTCCCTCCATCCCTCAGCCTGGGGAGTTACGTGTAGGTTGGAGGTGTGAGTATGCCTTTTCTCACTGAGGTCTGTGTCCTCCCGAGCTGTTTCTTTTCAGTGCTCTCAAAGCCCCTTATTTCTTGGTTGAATATTTTATCTTTTATTTTATCTTTTCAAGATTTGTTTTTCTTTTTCTTTTTTTCTTTTTTTTTCTTTCTTTTTTTTTTTAAGACAAGCTCTTACAATGTAACCCAGGCCATCCTGAGACCTTTCCACCTCATCTTTCTGAATGCTAGAATTAAAAAAGAAAACAACCCAACTTCTTGCTGTACATGGGGACACATGCTTGTCATCTCAGCAGAGGCAGGAGGACGGTGAACGTGAAGCCATCCTGAGCTATATAGCAAGACTCTGTCTCAAAAACAACCTCCAAAGCAAAAAAACAAAGCCAATCTTGTTTTGAAATAATTTCAAACCCATAGAAATGGATAAAGTACAAAGGACATTCTTCCTCCACATTGGTCAACTTTTCAACTTTTAATTTTTTTAAAAAAATATCTTTCCCTTTATGATATGATGATTTTTTTTCCCTGAACATTTCTAGAATTTCTAGAATAAATTGTGGACACTGAGCCCTTTCGGAAACCCCAAGATGGTTAAGTGTGTATTTCCTAAGAAAAGCCATTGTCTGACAAAACTACAGCATAGCAACCATACCAAGACCTTAATGCTGATAGAACCAGCATCCAGAAGACCTGTCCTGTTATATGCAGTGCCAACTATATGCCACTTTCGTAGCAAAAAAAGAAGTTAACTTTAACCCAGAACCAATGCACTTGGTTTAATAATCTTTTTAGTGTCCTTTTGTTTGTTTCCTTGAGGCAGGGTCTATCTCTGTAGACCAGGCTGGCCTCGATCTCACAGAGATCCACCTGCCTCTGTCTCCTGAGTGCTGGGATTAAAGATGTGTGCCACCACGTCCAGTTTATTTTCATCTTTTAATTTTTGTTTATTAGTTAAAATATTTTGACACAGGATTTTGCTGTATTTTGCAGTCTGGCTGGAAACTCATGATCTTCCTGCTTTAGCCTCCCAAGTGTTAGGATTGCAGGCCTGAGCCACTGTGCCAGCTGTGTTTATTTTGATTAGAAGCAGAGTCTGCGAGATAGACATGTGCACTGTTGGGGGATCCAGGCCACCCTGCCCTTCTTACTAGGGTTGGCTGTGGTTTGGCCCCTGGGCCTTGGCAGCTGGGGCTTGTGGGCACTGTGGCTGAGCAAGGAGGTCTAGGGTTACCAGTGACCCTGCTCGGGCTAGTTATGTGCCCAGCAAACCCACACGGGTGTAGCAGCAGGGTCTGGCTAAGTGCTGTATGGGGAGGAGGCTGCGAGGGGTCCCAGCAGCTGGCACCATCTGGTCTAATGACACTTTTTAATTACAGAATGTCCTTATCGAAGGGAACAGAATTAAGCTAGGAGCTGGCTTTGCCTCTCTCCTCTCAGTACCTATCCTCTTTGAAGAGACATTTTATAATGAAAAAGAAGAAAGTTTCAGCGTCCTCTGCATAGCCCATCCTTTGGAAAAGAGAGAGAGTTCAGGTACTGTGAACGGACACCCTTTTCCTGACTTAGAGGTGTCTGCATGTGGACCTTCCTCCTGGCTTAGCTGTCAGAACCTTGAATGTCACAAAGAATGATGAAGAGCCCACGACAAACCTGTATAACTTTACAATAACCCCTGCCCCCTGGGACTTGACCAAAGTCATCTCTTGCTAAGGAGGTGTGGGTTAGGGCTGCTATGTAAGCTGGCCCATGTTGGACAGTATCCAATTCCAAGGGGCACCACTCATAGGATCCTCATAGTTACTGTGATAAACCTGTGGTGGGAACATTACCCCTTGAGTTGTGTAAAGCTGGAGCCCTGCCTTTGTCTCCGGGCCTCAGGCTGAGGTTTGACCTCAGCATGATTCCCCACCCAGCCCCGCTGCCTCTTTGAGAGCTTATTATTTTTCAATAGATTGTTCAGTTGACCCAGGAAACTGCCCAGTTCATGTGCCGAATGCACCACGAAACTGAAGTCATCAGGAAATCAGCTTCACCCAAGCCCCGTAGGTCGTAGTAAAGTCACAGATTAATGTGTTCTAGGCAAAGGCTTTGGAATGTTCCTCTGGACCCCAGACTGTCCAGCACCTGGGCCGTTCTTGAGCAGCATCTTGAAATGAGGACGTTCTTTTACCTCCTTCCCCTGTCCCTGGCCATCTTCTCTTGGAAGATGGAGTTCTAGACCCTGTGGAAACAAGAGTAAAGAATGTGGCTCGTCCCCCACTCCTCCAACACAATTAGGAAATCTTGAAGGCTCCATCCAGCCTGACCCTGCGTCTCTTTTTCAGAAGAGCCTTTAGCACCTTCAGATCCTTTTGCCCTGAAAACCATTGAAGATGTGAGAGAATTTTTGGGAAGACACTCGGAGAGATTTGACAAGAACATCGCTTCTTTCCACCGAACCTTCCGAGAATGTGAAAGGAAAAGCCTTCGTCACCACATAGTTAGTAGCTGCGTCTTGTTCTGCCTGGCTGGCCTGTCTCAGTCCAGTTCAGAGGCCCTGGTTGTTGTCAGTCTGCTGTGGAACTTTACTGGGCACTGCCTCCGTGGCTGGAAAAGTAAAAAGTAAAAGTAGCATGCACCACTTCAGAAACTTGAAAATCTTAGAGAAATCTAAACATGAGTGTCACAAACAAACATACCCCCTCACTTACTGTTACTACCTGTGTTAACCCAAAGGGGAACCATTTTCCTAAAAAAAAAAAAAAAAAGTAGAGAGCTAGGGAAGTGGCTCAGCAGGTAAAAGTGCTTGCCACACAAGCCAAATGACCACAGTTCTGATCCCCAGAGCCTACAGTGGGGCGTGTCTGCAATCTCATCACTCCTATAGCAAAATGGGAGGTGGAGACAGAGGAATCTCCCAAAGCTCATGGGTCAGCCAGCCTAGAATACATAGTGCAGTGGCAGAAACAGGAGAGACCCCGCCTCAAACAAGGTGGAAGGGAGGGTGGACACCCAAGGTTGTCCTCTGACCTCCACATTCATGCTGTGGCATGCACATACACATGTACAAATAATTATTTTTAAAAGCCCAGGGGGCTGGATGAATGGCTCATCAGTTAAGAGCACTAGCTGCTCTTCCAGAGGACCTGAGTTCAGTTCCCAGAACCCACATGGCAGATAGCAGCCATCTCTAACTCCAGCTCTAGGGGTTCCAATGCCCCTTTCTGACCTCTGTGGTCATTGCGTGAAGGGGTGCACTTAACATATATGCAGGCAGAACACATAAAACAAAAATAATAAATAAATCAAAAAAATTAAAAGTTGAGGGCTGAGTGGGTAAAGGCACTTGCCACCAAGCCTGACCACCTGAGTTCGGTCCCTGGGACCCACATGGTAGGAGAAAGCTGACTCCTCCCATCCTCTGACCTCCACACATGTAGCGCAACATGCTTGCCCCTAACAAACACACACACAATACAGATGCACACTAAATAAACAAATGTAATTAATAATAATAAACCTTTTAGAGTTGAACATCAGTTTTAAAAGATGGTTTGCTGAAGCTTGCATTGCCTGTGAAATCCTGTCGTTCCTGAAGGTGCCACCCATTCAGGCTTTGGTAGTAAAATGGGTCTCCTCTCTCTGCTCTGTGTTGTACAGGACTCAGTGAATGCCCTCTACACCAGATGCCTCCAGCAGCTTCTGAGAGACTCGCACCTGGTAAGGAGAGTTCTACAAGAAGCAACTGAAGTTCACACAGGCGCAGATCCAAGCTCTTTAACTGCATTTCTCTTGCATTCTAGAAGGTTCTTGCAAAGCAGGAGGCCCAAATGAACCTGATGAAGCAGGCAGTAGAGGTAGGAAGACCATGGGGGGCAGTGACTAGGAGACTGTCTGTCCCCCAGTGCACACCCCGAGCTGAGATCTATTGATTCCACAGATGTATGTTCATCATGATATTTATGACCTGATCTTTAAATACGTGGGAACAATGGAGGCAAGCGAGGTAAGTATACGGTCTTCATCCCGCGGGATGCAAGCCTTATCCTATGCTTTTTAAGAAATTTGAAGCTTGGTTCAAATCTGTTGCTAGGATGCTGCCTTTAACAAAATCACAAGAAGCCTTCAAGACCTTCAGCAGAAAGACATTGGTGTGAAACCTGAGTTCAGGTACGAGTTTTCACGACCTGAGTAGCTCAGCATCTTTGAGGCTGGGGCACTGTCTCCTCCCCTCCCCTCAGTGGCAGTTGTAGCTGCTGATTTGATGTGGTTACCACCGAGGAGTTTTGTGCTTCCTTGTACCTGAAGACAGAGGCTGAAGTTGACTCTTGATTGCCTTGGAGACGCCTCTTCTTGCACTTATGGGCCAGGGTGTCAGCTGGGTGGGAGCTAAGGGGAGCAGGGTGTAGTATACCTGGTCTCTGACTCACTCAGAAAGGATAGGGTCTGCAGAAAGGATATCTGTCCTCACCTGCCTGTCTGAAGGAACCCTGGCACAGAGGCTGTACCTCTCCAGTTAAGCTTCATTAGGATAAAGAAATTTGAAGTATTGATATTTAACCTCGTCCCCCACTTGGGCTATTTTCCTCTCTGATTTAGGACTTTAAAAAAAAAAAGATTTATTTTATTCTACAATTTTTTTTTTTATTCATTGATTTTTATTTTATGTGTATGAGTGTTCTTGCATGTGTGTAAGTGCACCATGTGCGTGCAATGCCTGTAGAGGCCACAAGAGGGTATCGGATCCCCTGGAACTGGAGTTACATATGGTTGTTAGTCACCATATGGGTACTGTGAACTGAACCCAGGTCTTCAAGAGCTCTTAACTACTGAGCCAGCTCTCCAGCCCCTTTTCTTTTTAATTATTTGTATGTGTGTGTCTGTGTGTGAGTGTGTGCACCTGAGTGCAGTTACTCCCAGAGGCCAGAAGAGGACATCAGATCCCCTGGAGCTGGAGTTATAGGCAGCTGTGAGCTATCTGATGTGGATGCTGGGAACTGAACTTGGGTCTTCTGCAAGAGCAGTACATACTCTTAACCACTGAGCCATCTCTCTAGCCCTCGGGTTTAGAACGTCTATTGTAGTTTTTAAAGTTATTTTATTTTGATACAAGATCTCACTGTGTAACCCAGGTGGCCTTGAACTTATTTTGTAACCCAGGCTGACCTTGAAATTGTAATCCTTCTGCTTCAGTGCTGGGATTACAGGCCTATACCAACCAGGCCAGGCTCTAGGTTTTTATTTTTCCAAATTTCTAGTGGAACTTTATTACCTGGAAGCCTGGATGGAATGTCATTGACCAGAGTCAAAGTATTTCTCCATTTCTGTTTTTGTTGGTCATTTCTGAGGTGGTAAGAAATATATGGAAATGTGTTACCAGGACCAGGAAGCAGCAGCAACCCCCTGCCCCCAAGTCTGAAGTTCTCATTTCCCAAATACAGCTTCAACATTCCTCGTGCAAAGAGAGAACTGGCACAGCTGAACAAGTGCACGTCCCCACAGCAGAAGCTACTGTGCCTGCGCAGGGTAGTGCAACACATCACACAGTCTCCCAGCCAGAGAGGTTGGTGCCTGGGAAAGGGGCTGGGTGGGGGAGGGCACAGATGATACTCACATGCAGATGCAAAGTTCTGCAGAGGAGGGAGGGGTACCCCCACAGGGGCCAAGGTTGTATGGCAAAGAGCCAGCTAGGCACAATGAGGGGCAGAAAATCCTGACAGAAAAGCACTGGCCTCAACCTAGCCAGGCTGGGGTTTGAAGGTTCAACTGTTTGTTAGCCTGTTCACCCATCCCACCCCAATTTAGTATATGAAATTCTCCAAGCCAGATGTGGGTGGTGGCGCATGCCTTCATTCTCAGCCCTCAGGATGCAGAGGCAGGTGGATCTCTGTGAGTTCAAGGCTAGCTTGGTCTACATATCAAGTTCCAGGCCAGCCAGATACACATAGTGTGAGACCCTGTCTCAACTAAATAAATAAGTAAATAAAAACATAAATACATAGATACATAGAAAACTTGCAGAGTTTGAAGTAAAATGGATTGGGGGGCTGGGGTGTGGCTCAGTGGTAGAGCACTGTCTTAGTGTACATGAGACCCTGAGTCCCATCCCAGCTACAAAAGGAAAAAGTTGAGACAAGGGAAGCTGAGAAACGTCTAGCCAGGAGGCGGCAGGTCTCTGTATAGAGGTGGAGAGCCTTCATCAGGAACATGGCATGGGATCGTCAGCAGTGAATGAGGTACACTTGTAGCGTCAGCAAGGACAGGGGCAGGGCAGCTCCAGTCCATGACTGCCAGCACCTGCAGAAGCCATCTCTAGAAGATTCTCAGAGGGGACACTGAGTGACAGAGGTGCCTGGAGCTGGTTCTTTTGTACTGTTTGAGTCTTATTTATGAGTTTTCTTTTTATTTTTTTTTATTTTGTGAGACAGGGTCATTTCTTAGATTATGGGTGTTGGTCAGTTCACATGGCTTTATGTATTTGTTTATTTATTGCTATGCTAGAGATGGAACCCAGGGCTTCACTTATCGTAGGCAGGAGTCTTATCACGGAGTTACAACCTGTTATCTTGTACTGACTTTGATGTAATATTTATTTATTTTTATATGTATGAGTGTTTTGCCTGCATGTATGTAAGTTCCTCCATGCGTGCAATGCCTGCAGAGGCTAGATGCCTTGCATCCCCTGGAACTGGAATTATAGGCAATTTTTAGCCATGATGTGGGTGCTGGGAACTAAACCCAGGTCCTCTGCAAGAGCAGCCAGTGCTCTTAACCACTGAGCCGTCTCTCCAGTCCCTGAGTCCCTGTATTTAATTTTAAAGCACAAATTAATTACTTAAAGATTCAAAATGTCAAAGTACGAAGTGAAGTTACATGTGGGCATGAAAGGGACGTGACCTCAGGAGGAGGGAGGCTCCCAGTGACAGCTGTAGGCACACCTTCCTTTCCTGCTCACCAACACTGCCCCTGGGGTTGCCGCTATCCAGGGAGACTTGGGTGGCTTGGAGTTGTTACCTTCTTTGCACATGTTCTAAAAATACTGAACTTAAATTTTTTTTTTCTTAAGATAAGGTCTTTTATCAGGTGTGATGGTGCATACCTTTATTTCCAGGGCTTGGGAGGCAGAGGCAGGTGGATCTCTGAGTTCCAGGCCAGCCTAGTCTACATAGTGAGTTTCCACGCTAGCCATGAATACACAGTGATAAGTAGTGAGATCCTTTCTCAAAATAAGTAAGTAAATAAATAAATAAAACTTTAAAAAGATCAGGTCTTGCAGTGTAGCCCAGGCTGGCAATGGAGTCATGGTCCTCCAGCCTTAGACTCCCAACAGCTGAGATTACAGGAGTGTACCACTTTGCTCAGCCTGCTGTGCACTCTTTCATTGCCTTGATTCTGGCATCAGTTCAGAACATATTAAAGGGAACTGAAATCGTTTCTGCCTGGTGTGTGGCTTCCTGGAGTGTGGTTTTGCCTGTTTGTTGGTGGGGGAAGAGTTCGTGGTTTTGTCTGGTGACTGGTGGGGGAGACGTCATACCCTAGTCATTCCATCTGCAGCTCAGTGGTAGCTGTGGGCCTGTGTTTTCCTTGCAGTGAACTTGGAGACCATGTGTACTGATGACCTTCTCTCAGTCCTGTTATATCTGCTTGTGAAAACAGAGATACCTAACTGGTAATGTCTTTCTATGCTTGTTAAAATACTATTTATTTAATTAAAATTATTATTTTTTAATTTTTATATATATGTGTTTTGCCTGAGTGTTTGTAAGTACACCTAGTGTGCAATGACCATGGAGGCCAGAAGAGGGTGTTGGATCCCCTGAAACTGATTGTTAACAACTGTGTGGGTGCTGGGAATGGACCCCAAGTCATCTGCAAGACCAGACAGTTCTTTTAACCACTGAACCGTGTCTCCAGCCTCTGAGTATTATGTATCTGAGGATTCTGCCTGCATGTACGGACCAGACTGACCTCAGTTCCACAGAGATCCACTTGTCTCTGCCTCCTGAGTGCTGGGATTAAAAGCGTGCACCACCAAACTTGCCTATTTATTTATTTGTTTGTTTATTTATTTATTTATTTATTTATTTATTTATTTATTTATTATTTTTGAGACAGGGTCTGACATGTAGCCCAGGCGGACCTCCAACTCTAGATCTTCCTGCCTCAACCTCTGAGTTGTAGAAGAGCAGGTGTGTACCACTCTGCCTAGCATAAAATACCCTAAAGCTATGCTAGGACTATGTATTTTCAGTGCATCTCTAGGAAAACTTGCCTTTAATGACACACCTCTTAGGAGGTGCTATGCTTCAATGATGACTCCCCATTTACAAATGGGGAAACAGGCCTGGAAAGTTTCTGTTTGTTACTCTACAGTGTGTGGCTAGTCTGTTGCTGAATGGGAAGTTGACTCCTGTTCTAACCACAGGAACCCATAGTTCACTTTACTGTGAGCAACTTTCTCAAAGCCAGCCTATTCTGGGACAGGAACACCTAGTTTTAGTTATCTGAACCATACACTTCTGCACAGGGATCAAGGGGGTAGCAGCCATTGGTCCCCACCCACTCCCTCTACCTAACAGACCTTCTTGAGGTCTTGCTGCCCAAGTCAGTAACGTTTTTTTTTTTTTTTTTTTGCAAAAGTGTTAATGGCCAGAACTGATGAGCCATCTCTAAGAGTACTGGCTGCTCTTGCAGAGGACCTGGGTTCAGTTCTCAGCACCCACATGGCATTACTCTAACTCCAGATCCAGGGGATCCAATGCCATCTTCTGGCCTCTGAGGGCATTCCATGTACCTGGTGCACTTACATACATGCAGGCAAAATACTCATACGTGTAAAATAAATAACAATCAATCAAAAATATTATTTAAAAGTATGAATTAGCTATCCAGTGGTAACAATTTTTTCTTCTTTTTTTCTTTAGGATGGCAAATTTGAGTTATATCAAAAACTTCAGATTTAGCAGCTCAGCCAAAGATGAGTTGGGATACTGTCTGACCTCAGTCGAGGCTGCCATTGAATATATCCGGCAAGGAAGTCTCTGTATGAAGTCTCCTGTAAGATCTCCCTGCTGCCCATCCTTCCTCTGTGGGCATCCAGGGCACCTCTGGTAGAGGGCTGGGAGGAGGGGAAGGACATTTTTCCATGGTCTCCCAAGAATGGAGCCTCAGCTGTTTGAGGATTATAAAGCTTGAAAAGCACTCAAGAAACTGAACATTAAGACCTAATTGATTGTGAGAGCTGTGTGCTATCACTGGGATTCACACTGTTAATATCTTGCTTCATTAATCCCTGTCATTTTCAGAAGCATGTGTGTGGGAAAGGAAGCCAGACATGGTGAATCTGGGTTTCTTGAGGATGATAGGCAAGAAATGATTATTAATGTGTGCAATTTTAGGACTCAGTACCCTTATTATTATTTTCTTGGTTCATTGGTAAGCTTGGCTAGAGCAGTTGGTTTGTTTCTATGGAAACTGAGAATCTTGAGCCAAGATTTCTCTGTGGGCCTGTTATACTACAGGGTGACTGGTAAAAGACATAACTTGATAGAACTTAGAGCTCTCAAAGCTGAAGTCAATAAAATAAAAACAGTCATGGTGGTGTATGCCTGTGATCCCAGCTCTTAGGTAGCTGAGGCAGGAGGATTGTTGTGAGCTTGATGCCAGCCTGGGTGTGGGGTGAGTTCTGTGTCAGCCTGGGCTAGAGTGTGAGACCCCGTGTCAGAAAACCAAGAATATAAAGAAAAATAAATAAAGTTAGGGGTCGGAGAAATGGCTCAGCATTTAAGAGCATTGGCTGCTCTTGTAGAGGATCTGGGTTTGGTTCCTAGCACCCACATGGACTCACAATCATTTCTAACTTCAGTTCGTGGGGGGGTCTGATGCCCTCTTCTGGCCTCCAAGGGCACTGCATACATGTGGTACACATACGTACATACATACAGGCTAAACACATATATATATAAAATAAAAACAAATAAGGTAAATATAAATAAGTTAAGAAGGTTATGTGTTTGAGTCCAGCCTGGGCTATATGTAGTAGCAAGACCCTAAAAATGAACATAGATGCCACCTCCTAGGTGTTGGCTAAGTCAAGATTGAGTAAGGCTCTGCATTCTTGTCATGCTTGGCCTGTCAACAGAGCATCTACTGTAGCTTCTTTGCTTTTTATGGCATCAGTATGGGAATCTGTCTATAAAGACTGTTTCTGTCGTCAGTGAGGACTAGGACTGGCTGCTTTTAGGTAATGAAGTCCGTGTGGGAATGTGGAAGCCAGTGCCATGTGGTGGTGCTGTTTCCTGGGGAGAGAGCCCATGTGTGTCTCCACACAGCTGGGAAGCTTTTCCATATTAGTGAATTAATTAGGTTTCACCATCAACCCTATGCGATGTGGTTTCACAGAAATATTTTCCCCAGAATAGCAGTGCTTGAGATGACCACAGACATTTCCTTAGCATGAATGGAGACTTTAACGTTCCAAAAATAAACATCACTGTGATGGCTGTATTAAAAACCAAGGAGTAAACTCTGAACATAACAGACCATTCCCTGCTTCATCTTTTTTTTTTTTTATTTCTTTATTTTTATCTCACGTATACAAGTGTTTTGCCTGCATGTATGGAAGTGTATGATGTGTATGCAGTGCCTGCAGAGACCAGAAGAGGGTGTCAGATCCCTTGGAACTGGAGTTACAGATGGTTGTTAGCTGCCATGTGGGTGCTGGGAATGGAACCTGGGTCCTCTACAAGAGTAGCCAGTGCTCTGAACCACCGAGTCATCTCTCCAGTCCCTTCCCCTCACTACTTCATCTTTACATGGTCCTGGTCTGTTTTGCTGTCTTGCTGCTAGTATGTATGTATGTATGTGTGTATGTATGTATGTATGTATGTATGTACGTATGTATTTAATGGTGATGCTGGGAATGGCGTTCCGGTCCTTATCACTGTACCTCTGAGCTGCATCTTGGGCCCTGTGTTTTTTTGAGCTTTGACCTTGAGCTCTGAACCCTCTTAATTGGGATGACAGGCATGCACCCTCACACCCAGCTCTGAGTTCCCAATAAACAGCACTTACTTGTTTCCCATAAGCCTCTGGGTTGTCTTCTGAGCATTTGTGCTTCCCTGAAGATTTAGTCCTGGTAGCCCTGTCTCTCATCAGTGCCCTTCAAATAGCATCCTGGAGTTGAAGAGAAAGCCCAGATTGGCCTGTTCTGCAGTGCCTGTGCTGTCCGCTTCTCTGGTCCTGAGTGCTCAGCTGTAAGTCACTGTATAAAGCAGATTGATGGAGCTTTACATAGCACAACGGATCCTTCTGCAGTCCTGGCAGCAATTGTGTGTCACATTAATCCTCCTTGGAAGGGGGCAGGTGTGAGGAATGCTGCTTGGTGGAGGATCCCAAGAAATGGTCCCTCCTTCAAAGTTCCATTGGCTTCATCTACTGGAAAGGGCTGTAAAGAAAGAGCTTTGTCCACCTCCTGCCAGGGTCTTATGGATTTCCAATACCACCTGTCTGGAAAAATTTTTTGCTTTACCTCCCACCAAGATTCTTCATCAGGGAGTTAATTGTCATTGGACCATTTGTCACAGGACCCAAGTGAGCATGGGAGCACTTTGCTTGAAATGATTTTGTAAAAAAAAAAAAAACCACAGGGCTGGGGGTGTGGCTAAGTTGGTAGAGCTCTGGTCTAGAATCTACCAGTGCAGGGCTGGGGGTGTGACTCAGTGGTCCAGACCTTTTCTAGAATGCACCAATGAAGACTGGGTGTATAGCTCCATGGCAGAATTTTGGCTATCAAGTGTAAGGACTTTGTACAGCAAAAAACCACTGTGGAACAAACCATAGTCTTTTAACTTTGTATACCTTAAACATGTGTGTCCACAGTTTCAGCCATCATGACGGTAATATGGTGTTAATAACAGATAATAGTAATAATAATAGATAATAAATAATAATAATAAATAATAGTTGTAAACAATAAAGCGAGCACAAATTTCTAGATTTTATTTCTTTTAGATTTTTATTCATGTGTATGTGTGTATCTGTGTGTCTGTGATGTGAGTGCAGTGCCTGCAGAGGCCACAGCAGGGCGCCAGATTCCCCTGAAGCTGGAGTTACAGGTGGCTGCGAGCTACCTGCTGTGGTGCTGGCAACTGAATTCAGGTCCTGTGGAAGAGCAACAAGTGCCCTTAAGCACTGAGACATCTCTCTAGCCCCAAATTCCTAGATTTTTGTGTCCAGGTAAACATTACCTTTGATGTGAAGCTCTAAACATATTAATTGATTAAGTCATAGGGGTTGAGGGAATCTATAGGAATTCTCCCTGAATCTTCCTAGATTTTTTTTTGTGAGTTTATCTGATGTTCTCACCAGTTTGTTGACAAAAGAAGACAGTTCCTGGTGCTGGGCACTGGGGAGTAGAGACCAGGGTGGCAGATAGTCCTGTCCATAGCCCTGGTTAATATGGAGGGGGTGAGGCTGTGTAGGCATTAGGAAGAGAGGGGAGGAAGAGGCTAACATAAGCCAAGCTTCAGCCTAGAGGATGATGGCACATGGGTGGCTCATTTCACACCTGGAAGTGATGCTCCACACCCTGTAGTCTTGCACTGCCCCAGGCAACAGTCTTCAGAGCCTCTACCTCTAAGTGCCCCTGTTCCCTGTTGGAGGAGAGTCTGCCCTCCATCTTGGTGAGCAAATCAGCAAGAGTGATTTGGTGAGCAAATCAGCAAGAGTGATTTGGTGAGCAAATCAGGTTACATCCTTGGATGAATGACAAGGGCTATAGGGATAGTGCTTGGGCCCTCCATGGAGGGCCTGTGATGTGTGATGACCTGGTGTCTTGTTTCCTACAGGAGTCTGAGGGCTTCGGTGACAGATTGTTCCTTAAGCAGAGGATGAGCTTGCTGTCCCAGATGACACCAACACCTATTGACTGTCTGTTTAAGGTAAGATACCCAGACAGCTTTACAGTGAAGATGTGTGAGGATTTCCTAGAGCCAAAGTAGGTACTGTGGAGGAAGCACATCTCTGAGTCACAGAGGCCAGGCCCTGTGGGGCTTATGTGCTGGTGGGGCCTGCTGCTAATTGCATATGTTTCCTTTCCCCTAAGCCTAGGCTCCACTTGATTACCAGGGGGATAGCACTGTGCTTGCTTTCTCTACTCGCTCCCTCCTCCTCTCGTTCCCTGCCTTCCCCTTCCTTCCTCCCTCTCTATTCTCCCCCCTCTTCCCACTTTGGTGATACTGGAAATTGAAGCTAGGACCTTGTATATACTAAGCAAGTGCTCTACCACTGAGCCACACCCCAGCCCCTCACTGGGGGAGTCTAGGCAGGTGCTCTACCACTGAGCCACATTCCCAGCCCCTCACTGGGGGATTCTAGGCAGGCGCTCTACCACTGAGCCATGCCCCCTGCCCTCACTGGGGAATTCTAGGCAGGTGCTCTACCATTGAGCCACCCTCCCAGCCCCTCACTGGGGGATTCTAGGCAGGCGCTCTACCACTGAGCCATGCCCCCTGCCCTCACTGGGGAATTCTAGGCAGGTGCTCTACCATTGAGCCACCCTCCCAGCCCCTCACTGGGGGATTCTAGGCAGGCGCTCTACCACTGAGCCATGCCCCCTGCCCTCACTGGGGAATTCTAGGCAGGTGCTCTACCATTGAGCCACCCTCCCAGCCCCTCACTGGGGGATTCTAGGCAGGCGCTCTACCACTGAGCCATGCCCCCTGCCCTCACTGGGGAATTCTAGGCAGGTGCTCTACCATTGAGCCACCCTCCCAGCCCCTCACTGGGGGATTCTAGGCAGGCGCTCTACCACTGAGCCATGCCCCCTGCCCTCACTGGGGAATTCTAGGCAGGTGCTCTACCATTGAGCCACCCTCCCAGCCCCTCACTGGGGGATTCTAGGCAGGCGCTCTACCACTGAGCCATGCCCCCTGCCCTCACTGGGGAATTCTAGGCAGGTGCTCTACCATTGAGCCACCCTCCCAGCCCCTCACTGGGGGATTCTAGGCAGGCGCTCTACCACTGAGCCATGCCCCCTGCCCTCACTGGGGAATTCTAGGCAGGTGCTCTACCATTGAGCCACCCTCCCAGCCCCTCACTGGGGGATTCTAGGCAGGCGCTCTACCACTGAGCCATGCCCCCTGCCCTCACTGGGGAATTCTAGGCAGGTGCTCTACCATTGAGCCACCCTCCCAGCCCCTCACTGGGGGATTCTAGGCAGGCGCTCTACCACTGAGCCATGCCCCCTGCCCTCACTGGGGAATTCTAGGCAGGTGCTCTACCATTGAGCCACCCTCCCAGCCCCTCACTGGGGGATTCTAGGCAGGCGCTCTACCACTGAGCCATGCCCCCTGCCCTCACTGGGGAATTCTAGGCAGGTGCTCTACCATTGAGCCACCCTCCCAGCCCCTCACTGGGGGATTCTAGGCAGGCGCTCTACCACTGAGCCATGCCCCCTGCCCTCACTGGGGAATTCTAGGCAGGTGCTCTACCATTGAGCCACCCTCCCAGCCCCTCACTGGGGGATTCTAGGCAGGCGCTCTACCACTGAGCCATGCCCCCTGCCCTCACTGGGGAATTCTAGGCAGGTGCTCTACCATTGAGCCACCCTCCCAGCCCCTCACTGGGGGATTCTAGGCAGGCGCTCTACCACTGAGCCATGCCCCCTGCCCTCACTGGGGAATTCTAGGCAGGTGCTCTACCATTGAGCCACCCTCCCAGCCCCTCACTGGGGGATTCTAGGCAGGTGCTCTACCATTGAGCCACACTCCCAGCCCCTCACTGGGGGATTCTAGGCAGGCGCTCTACCACTGAGCCATGCCCCATGCCCTCACTGGGGAATTCTAGGCAGGTGCTTTCCAGTCCTTGGTGTTTTGTGACAGTGTCTAACTATGCAGCCCAGGCTGAACTTGAACACAAGATTCTCCTTCCTCTCCCTCCTGAGTCCTGGGATTACAGGCTTATGCTACAAGTCCTGCAGGACTGAGACTTTTGCTAATGAAGTGTCAAAATCCACACTTAGGTTCTGAGATGGAGTGTGCTCCCCTCCTTAGTACTTTGGAAACTTTGTTGGGCCTCCCCCCCATAACTTATGAGAATTCTCTACATTTATAAAAACAGTAATCTAATGTGAAAACCGCTTTGTAGTTGTCACCCAGGCTTGTTTCATCTCCACCCCAACCTAGTGTCCTCATCTGCCCAGATAATCCTGGAGCAAGTCCCAGAGAGCAAACCATTTCAGCCATAAACTCATAGATGTTTCTGTGGAGGCTCTAAGCAAGGGTGGTGGTGCAGGCCTGTCATCCCAGCACTCGGGAAGCTGAAGCAGGAGGATCAAGAGTTAGAGGCCAGCCTGCGTTTCAGAGTGAGACCCCATCCTAACAAAGCAAAACAACAACAAAACTGCAGACTGGGTGGCACAGATCTGTTATTCCAGCACTTGGGAGGCTGAGGCAGGAGGATCAAGAGTTCAAAGCCAGGGGACAGGAGACAGGACCTGGGTTTGGTTCCCAGCACCCATATGATAGCTACTAACTATCTGTAACTTGAGTACTTGAGATCAGAGGATCTCATGCCCTCTTCTGTGGTGCACTTATATACATCTAGGCCTAACACTCCTACACATTGTGTGTGTGTGTGTGTGTGTGTGTGTGTGTGTGTGTGTGTAGAGAGAGAGAGAGAGAGAGATACAGACAGACACACATAGAGAGAGATACACACACAGACACACATACACAGGGAGAGAGAGAGAGATACACACACAGACACACATGGAGAGAGACAGAGAGACAGAGACAGAGACACACAGACACAGAGAGACACACATATATACAGAGATACATACAGACACAGACAGAGATACACACAGACACAGACACACACATACACATAGAGAGAAAGATACACAAAGAGAGAAAGACACACACATACATACAGAGACACACATATACATACACAGAGACAGAGAGAGAGAGAGAGAGAGAGAGAGAGAAATCCAGGCCTAGTGGCACAGATCTGTCATTCCAGCTACTCAGGAGGCTGAGGTAGGAGGATTACAAATTCCAGGCCTGCCTGGGATTCAGAGTTTGTTTAAGACAAGCCTGGGAAACTTAGTGAGACCCCATCTTAAAATAGAAAAAGGGCCAAGAGTTAGTTGTGGTAGCACATGATTTTAATTCCAACACTCAGGAGACAGAGACAGGCAGGTCTTTGTGAGACTGAGGTCAGCCTAGTCTACATAGCGAGTTTCAGGCCATCTGATGCTACAGAGAGACCTTGTCCAAAAACAACAAATAAAACAAAAAGAAAGAAAAAAGGAAAAGTGCTGGAATGTGGCTCAGCGCTTCCCTAGTGTGCTGAGGTTCTAGGTCCTAGCCAAATACTGCAAAACTGAACCAAACCGAAAACTGCTCCTTGGAGAACAAGTGATTCCTTAGCATTAACGGTATTTGGGTTGTCGCTCTTTAGCACATTGCATCTGGTAACCAGAAAGAAGTGGAAAGACTTCTGAGCCAAGAAGACCAGGACAAAGATGCTGTCCAAAAGATGTGTCACCCGCTATGCTTCTGCGAGAACTGTGAGAAACTCGTCTCTGGGTAAGAGGCGCCCGGGAGGCGCAGCAAGCCAGGCCTAGGATTCCTAGGGCTTGGTCACGCTTTTGACACAGGGTACAGTGGCAGTTTTTACTCCAGCTATGAGACTCTGAATGAGGCTCGTTTCGCATTGCCCCTCAGCTGCCTGCTCTGTCGCGAGTGGACGGTGACACCCGCCTGTTTGGAGCCTCAGGTGGAAGAGAGGCTGTAAAGCCCTGCACCCTCCTCAGCTCAATCCCTGGGGGTTTTTAGATGGAGGGGGTACCAGTTTCTTCTGATAACATTTTTGAATTCCAATTATTCGCCATGGGCAATTTTGCTGTATGTCAAGACCTTGAAGGGCTGGTGGGGAAGGATGCTCCATGGGTGAGAGAGGCGGCTGTTTGGTCCTGGGACAGCGTGGAAAAGTGTTGAAACTTGTCAGGCCTGGCAGGGAGTAGGGTCTGATATACTTTTTTTTGGTATTTTTTTTTTTTTTTTTTTTTTTTGAGACAGGGTCTCCCTGTAACTCTAGCCGGCCTGAAATACTATGTAGACCAGTATATAGACCAGGCTGGCCTCTGTCTCCTAGAGATCCACCTGCCTCTGCCTCCCAAGTGCTGGGATTAAAGCTGTGAGCCATCACACCTGGTTTTCTTTTTATTTTGTAGCATTTTTATGTGTCTTCTTTGTATTTTAGGAGGTTGAATGACCCATCAGTTGTCACTCCATTCTCCAGAGATGACAGGGGTCAAACACCCCTCCACGTGGCTGCTCTCTGTGGTACGTAACCTTGGATTGGCTCCCATTGGGTTATATCATGGCAAAAGGGTAGGGTACCCCAGCACCCAGCAGAAGCCCTGCTGATGAGGTGGTTACAGGGGCTGCATTGTGGGAGTATCCCACAGGGCAGGGAAGACTGGTAAGCCTGACCACCCTACCCTCTGACTTACTGGACACTGCCACTTCCCAGGCTGGAAGAACGCTCACGTGGCTCACCAGGGTTGGACACTTTGCTGGCCAGGGAGGACAGGCTGGAATTCTCCCTAGGAAAATGTCTCCAAATTGTCAGTTTAGAGTTCTCATAACCCTGCCTTTGAAAATAATACTGAGCTGGGTGTGATGGCACAGGCCTGTAATCCCAGCCACTCAGGAGGCTGAGGAAGGAGGATTATGAGTTTGAAGCCAGTTCATAGCAAGTTCAATGCCAGCCTGAACTACAGAGTGGAAGATTTTTTAATTGCCTTTTAAAGTACACACTAAAGGTAGCAAAACACAAACTCCTAGCCGGGCATGGTGTCACATGCCTTTGATCCCAGCACTTGGGAGGCAGAGGCAGGTGGATCTCTGTGACTGAGGCCAGCCTGGCAACATAAATTCCTCCTACATCACTCGACAGTCCTCTGTTTCCTGAGATAACTTTGTTTTCTGAGTGTATGGAATTTCTGCATGTCTGTGCATATGCATGTATGAAATCCGAGATTTTCTGTCCTATGCTATCTACTGCTTGGAAATGTATCTCACCTTTCAGTATTTTTCCTGGCTGCATGCTCTTCTATCCTGTGCGTTGTGCTGTGGAGCATTTAAGGCTCTTCTCCATTGCCTTTTCTTGTTGAGAGTGGACTTGGGTAAATCCCTTCTAGGGTATCCCACAGTGTTTGATTCTACAGAGTCTGACTCGATGTTAGCTCTGTCTCCTCTACATGTGAAAACATGTCTTCTGGTGGGTTTTCTTCCAGAACCTATGAAAGCGAGATGGTATTGTCGGTGGAGACCCTCTCCTTCCTCCACCGTTGAGATGTCCTTCTGTTCTGCAGGTCAGGCATCCCTCATTGACTTCTTGGTCTCCAAAGGTGCCATGGTGAATGCCACCGACTATCACGGGTCCACCCCGCTCCATCTGGCGTGTCAGAAAGGCTGTCAGAGCGTGACGGTGAGTGGCAGGCAATGGTGGCGCTCGTGGGAGCTCTGCCCTGCTTGGTGACTTCATGGCCATGCACTGTCTTCCTGTGCTGTACGCTGCTGCTGTCAGACAGTGGGAACCTGGAGGCCAAGCCACCTGCCTGGGGACCAATTCTTGGCTTAAGATGGGAAACTTCCTGATCATTTGCAGGAGCAAAGGACATTTTTCTTTAATCTCTAAACTTTTAAAAAATTGATATATGCTGGGCGTGGTGGCACATGCCTTTAGTCCCAGCACTAGGGAGGCAGAGGCAGGCATATCCCTGTGAGATTGAGGCTAGCCTGGTCTACATAGTGAGTTCCAGCCCAACTGGAACTACAGGGAGACCCTGTCTCAAAAAGACCAAAAAAAAAAAAAAAAAAAAAACCTATGTGTATGAGTATTCTGCCTGCATGTATGTAAATGCACCACATGTGTGCAATGCTCACAGAGTTCAGAAGAAGGCATCCTCTGGAACTGTGGTAAACCAAATCTGGTTCCTCTGCAAGAGTAGCCAGTGCTCTTAAGTGCTTAGTCATCTCTCCAGCCCCTAAACTTTTTTTTGACGGGAAACAGTGGCATGATTTTTTTTTTTTTTTTGGGTGTGTGTGTGTGTGTGTGTGTGATTTAAGATGTGAACAGTGGAGGCTGGAGAGATGGCTCAGCAGTTAAAAGAGCACTGGCTGCTCTTGCAGAGGACCCTGGTTCAATTCTTAGCACTCACATGGCAGCTAACAACTGTCTGTAACTAGTTCTAGGGGATCCGACACCCTCTTCTGACCTCCATGGTCATTGCATGACATGGGTGCATTTATACACATGCAGGCAATACACTTGGACACATAAAATAAAAATAAAATATTTTTATAAGCGTGTATTGTCTGCATGTAGGTAAGTGCACCTGTGTTGTGCGATGCCCACGGAGGTCAGAAGAAGCTGTTGGGTCCCCTGGAACTGGAGTTACAGACAATTGTTAGTTGCCATGTGGGTGCTGGGATTCAAACCCAGGTCTTCTGCAAGAACAGCCAGTGCTCTTAACTACTGAGCCATATCTCTAACCCCCAAAAATATTTTTTAAAAAAGATGTGAACAGTGATTTACCCCCTTCTCACCAATGCTGAAGGACACGCTTTCTGTGGGCGCTGAGGCCCTCCGTCTGCTGTGGGGCTCACCTGCCATCTTTTCTCTGCCAGCTGCTGCTGCTGCACTATAAGGCCAGCACCGAGGTGCTGGACAACAACGGGAATACTCCGCTCCACCTGGCCTGCACCTATGGGCACGAGGATGTAAGTGGACCTGCTGCTACCCAGCTGCTGTCTTCACTCTCTCACACATGGGAAAATCAGCATTGCTACCAAGTTCAAAGCTGTGTTTTGTTTTGATAACTATAGGAGCATTGAATATTCAATTAAAAAATGTTATTTAATGTGTCTGAGTGTTTGCCTGCATGAATGTAAATGCACGTGTGCATGTAGTGCCCTTGTAGGCCAGAAGAGGGAGACACGTTCCTTGGAACTAGAGTTAGGAATGATTGTTAGCCACCATATGGGTGCTGGGAACTGAACCCAGGTCCTCTGCAAGAGGAGCCAGTTCTCTTAACTCCTGAGCCATCTCTCTAGCCCTGGACATGTATTTAAAAAATATATTATTAATTTTTTATTATAATGTGTGTATGTGGTATGTATGTGGTATGTATGTGTTTGCATGTGCCATGGCATGCATGTAGAGGTCAGAGGACAACTGTGTGGAGTGGGTTCTCTCTTTCCACTTTTACTTGGGGTTCCAGGGATCAGACTCAGGTCGTCAGGCTTGCACAGCAAGAGCTTTACCCGCTAAACTATCCTGTCCTGTAATTTTTTAAAAATTAAAACAAGTTGAGTATATTACAGATGCTCTATCGAACCACAGAAATCTAACATGTAATTTCTTACCCTGAAGTTAAACCATGTCACTCATCTCTGCTGCCATCTGGCTCTTAACTTTGTGCATATTTCTTTTACAGTAGTGTCTAGGAATTTTGTGATTTCGTCACTCGCCACCTTAATATGCATGTGTGAGCTTAGATGTGCATATTTCCCTTCCCTTTTCAGACTTACATAGAGTTAGATACATGTAGAGTTTAGTCTGGGTCTTGTGGTTGGCATATAAAATTGGTATTATCCTATACATTTTTGGGGGGTAGGGGGTGGGCCCATGGTGTAACCCAGGATAGCCTTAGACACCCAATCCTCCTGCTTCAGTCTCTTCAGAGAGTGCTGGGATCACAGGGGTACACCAGCATGCCCATCTGGAGATCGTCTTGAACTGACCTGTATCTAAATTTATATAATTGCTCTTCATAGTAAGAAGAGACATTTCCAAATCATAGTTTGAACTAGCCATGTGCATATAACTTTCTTGATACATACTTGTTTTTCCCTCCCTCTGAGGTTCATTTCGGATGGTTCTGAACACACTGTACAATTTCGTTTTCTTAAATATTTTTCTGATATGTATGATTAATTTCCACTTGTCCAACTTTTCTTTTCTTTTTTTTTCTTTGCAAGTTTGAAAATTATTTTCTATTTTTGGCTTTTTGAGATAGGGGCTCCCTATGTAGCCCAGGCTGGCCCCAAACTCCTGCTCCTTCTGGCTCAGCTTCTCAAATGCTGAGATTATAGGCATAAACCTCCTATTTCTTCTCGATTAACAATTAGTGTTACTGGTTTGTTCTTGTTTTGTTTTGTTTTGGTTGGCATTGGGAATTGTCCCCAAGGCTTCCTTGAGTGCTAGACAAGGAGACACGTGCTCTACCACCAAACCACACCCCCAGCCCTCACTGGGGGATCCTAGACAGGTGCTATACCACTGAGTCAGGCCCCCAGCCCCTCACTGGGAGATTCTAGGCAGAAGCTCAACCACCGAGCCACATCCCCAACCCCTCACTGGGGGAGTCTAGGCAACTACTCCTGAGTTTACTGAGTTCTTTTGAAAAAAATGAAGTGTCCTGATGAGGGAATGTGGAGCTCTTGAATTGTAACTGCCTGCTTCTGTGCTTTGGCTCAGCTAATTGATCCTCAGTTAAAGCAGGACATGGACACTACCCTAGACTTGGATGGTAGGAACCGTGCTCTCTCAATGTTTTTGCAGTGTGTGAAGGCGTTGGTTTATTATGATGTACACTCCTGCAGACTGGATATTGGCAATGAGAAAGGAGACACGGCCCTGCACATTGCTGCGAGGTGGGGTTACCAGGGCATCATAGAGACGCTGCTGCAGAACGGAGCCCCCACAGAGATCCAGAACAGACTGAAAGAAACACCGCTCAAGTGTGCATTGAATTCAAAGGTAGTGCTCTCCTTTTCTGAGCAGCAATGTGACTATAAAAAAAATCAGCGTTCAGAGATTGGCCGTTCTCCGCAAATGTGCATAACACCACTGAGGGCTGTTTGGCCTGCATCCTCTCTGATACCTTTGTTAATGGGTTTTACTTACTGATGTGATTCTCGGTTTTCCTGACAGTTTTTCTTAGTGTAGTTGTAAGAGCTGCTTGCAGCAGACTTGGCCCCAGCCCTGAGTGCTGGGGATGTACCAGCCAATGGACAGTGTGAGAATGGGGCAGTGGCCGTAGACGAAGAGCACAGAGAGGAAGTGGAGTCATTCAAAACACTGCAGAGCCGAGCTGTTTTGTCACTTCATCTCTGCCTCTAGAAACTTCATTCTCATTTGACCAAAACTTCAATTAATCATTTAATTGAGAGTCTGAGGCTCAGTATGGAGCCAAGGCTGGCTTTGAATTCACAGAGATCTATCTGCCTCTGCCTCCCAAGCATTGGGATTAAAGACCTGTGCCATCACTCCCAAGTCCCCACAACCTTTTTAATTGCATTTATTTATACTAGATGTCAGTTTACTTCAAGCCTGGTGATGCTGGGTTTACAAAGCAATTGTCTCCTAGTTTTCCCTAGTTATTATTTTTCCTTTTTTTAAAAAGTTGCAAATCCAACTTGCCCACATTAATGTTAGCACCAGTTAAGATGGTGCTTACTGTGATGGATGCTGAATGCTGATGTTCTAGCCCATTATCCCTTTTACCTTGACAATTCACATTAAAGTTTAACAACAAAAAAGGGTCTTAAGGGGCTGGAGAGCTGACTCAGTGGTTAAGAGCACTGGCTCCTTTTGCAGAGGATATGGGTACAGTTCCCAGCACCCACCCATCTGTAACTCCAATTCCAGGGAATCCAATGCCCTCTTCTGGCTTCTGTGAGCATTGAACATATGGCAAAACATTCCTACATGTAAAATTGAAGTGAAATGCCAAAAAAATTTTTTTTGATTTTTTTTTTTTTTTTTAAGACAGGATCTCCCAGTAGCCCCAGCTGACCAGGAACTCTCAGAGATCCACCTGTCTCTCTGCCTCCTAAGTGCTGGGATTAAAAGCGTGCGCCACCACACCTGGCTCAAAAAATAATTTTTTTTAAAGAAAATTTAAAAAAAGAGTCTTAGGTCCTGCAGCCCTCCCATACCCTTGGGCGGTTGGGAAAAATCAGGACTTCCTCCTCTTCAAGAAACTAAGGTTGAGTCAGACATGGTGGTGTAGGCCTGTCATCCTAGCACCTAGGAAGTTGGCCTGGGAGATCTGGTCTCAAAAAAAAAAAATTGGGAAAAATTTCAACAGTCACTTGTTTTTAATTAGCTTTAACATTTTAAATTTTTATTTCATGTGTATGCACGTGCCACAGCATGTGTGTGGAGGTCAGAGGGCAACATTGTGGGAATTGGTTCTCTCCTTCCACCATATGGGTCCTTGGGATTGGGCTCAGATCATCATATTTGGCAGCAAGTACCTTTACCCACTGAGTCATCTCACCATCCCCCTAAAATTAGCTTTAAAATTTATTTATTTTTATTTTAGGTGTATGAGTGTTTTGCCTGCATGTATGCAAGTGCACCTATGTCATGTAATACCTGCAAAGGCCAGAAGAGGGTGTCAGATCCCCTATAACTGGAATTATGGATGGTTGTTAGCTGCCGTGTGGGTTCTGGGAACCAAACCCAGGTCCTCTACAGGAGCAGCCAGTGCTCTTAACCTCTGAGCCATCTCTCTTTAGCCTGTAATTGGCTTTTTGGTGGATCTAAGATTCTTGCTGTTCTGACTTCTGGAGGACTGGCAGCAGCAGGTGCTGGGATGCTGGTGGCTTATTGCAGTGCATCTCATTCCATGCCTGTCTTGTCCTCATTGCCCCCTAGATTCTGTCTGTAATGGAAGCCCATCATGTGTCCTGTGAAAGGCCTTCCAAGGTAAGTCCACAGGTCTGGCCTCATTGGTGACCCTGGAACTCAGCATGTCTCCTCTGGGCCTGACGTGGCCATGTGCCCATGTCCCTTTTCTTGCCTGGACTGCCTTCCTGCAGGTCCCTTCACAGTCCCCTCCACATTCCATGGATTCCATCAGCCAGGGCTCCTCCACCTCCAGCTTTTCTTCCATGTCGGCAAGCTCTAGGCAAGAGGAAATCAAGAAGGACTACAGGGAGGTGAGCCTTCTAGATGGGAGGACCCCAGTGTTGTGGCAGCCAGTGGAAGCACTATAGGCTGACCAGAACTGTCTGTCAGCCAGCTTGACAGTTGCTGGGCAGCTGGTCTTTGCTGAGTGAAGATCACTGCCTTTGAGGCGCACCCAGCCGTGTCTCATGCCACAGGTTTTCTGGATGCTTGTTACTTCTGTTGTGATTTTATTATTTAAGTTCATTTCTGGAGCTGGAGAGATGGCTCAGGGTTATTAGCACTGACTGCTCTTGCAGAGGATCCAGGTTCAGTTCCCAGCACCCATATGGTGGCTAACCCATATGTCTATAACTTCAGTTCTAGGGGATCTTACACCCTCTTCTGGCCTTCATATGCATTGCCTGACACAGGTGTACTTACATACAGGCAGGCAAAACACTCATACACATAAAATAAAAATAAATAAGAATTAAAAAACAAATTCATTTCTGGGGCTGGAGAGACAGCTCAGCAGTTAAGTGTGTCTTGTTCTTGCAGAGCACCTGGGTTCAGTTTCTAGTACCCACACGGTGGCTCCGACACCTGCTTCTGGTCTCCCCAGTCACCAAGCACACACATCATGCATATATAAACATGCTTGAAAAATGCTTAATCTATGTAAAACAAAAATAAATAAATCTATAAAAAAAGCATTTCCCTAACATTCTTTTCCTTCCATTAAGGTAGAAAAACTTCTAAGAACAGTTGCTGATGGAGATCTAGAAATGGTGAGTTTTTAGAAGAGGGTTTCTTTTTTCCGTTACTGTGACAAAATACCCAGCAGAAGCAGTGAAGAGAGGGAGGTTTTGCTTTGCCTCATGGTTGCAGCAGTGGATGGTGGTGGAGAGGGCGTGGTGACAGGAGCAGGTGGCAGTGGCTGTTCACAGGGTGGACCAGGAAGCATCGGGAGCAAGCGAGAACCAGGGGCTGGTCTAACCTGCAAAGGCTGGTCAGTAGTGAATGACAGCTGTCAGCCCAGCCAGGCCAGACTCCTCAAGGCTCCACAGCCTTCAAAATATTAATAGCACCACCAGTTAGTGAGTGCTCATTCAAAACATGAGCCTATGCATTTGAGATCCAAAGCCCTAAGGAAGAGCGTTTTCCAAAGTCACACCCCTGTTTCTTGCCTCTTTCAGCTTCTAGTTATGTGACCTCTTTGTATAGTTCCACCAAGTATGGTTCATTTGGTACACACTCCGCCACGGTGATGTTGTTTGCCCAGTAAGGAACAGCATAGCAAATGTGAACCACACCTTTTGGACATTTCTGCTCTGGGAGTGCAGTGAGATGCTGGCAGGACTCCAGACCAGGGTGATGGGAAGAGGAGGAGTTGGAAAGCCAAAGCCACGCTGCATGGGGTTCTGTGGCAGTTGTGGACACTTGGGACTCCCAAGCCAGCAGGCTGAGGCCTGAGGCTTGGGGCTCTGGGAGTCACAAGCAAAAGACAAGAATTAAGGGATGTCAGCGGCCATGGAACCTTCTTAAGGTTCTTGTGGGCAGTTTCCATTAGCTCTCTGAAAGGAATATGTCTTCACTCTTTACAGAGCAGTGAATTAGGAGCTTAGTAAATTAGGAGCTCTGGACAAGTAATCTTCCAAGGGTGCATCGCAGCTGTTGAGTGCTTTTCACTGATGACCAAGGGAAGTTGTGTTAGTCCTTTGGTTGTCACTGTGACAGTGCATAACAAGTTCAGCTTGAGAGAGAGTAGATTACTTTTGGTTTATGATGGTTTCAGAGGACTGACCACAGTCACTTGGCCCTGTGCATTTGGGCAGAACATCATGGTGATGGACACTTGTGTGTGGCAGAGATGCATCTTCATCTATGATGGATAAAAAGCTGAGAGAGGAGGCCTATGAGATGGCTCAGAGAGTAAAGATGCTTGCCCCATGTCCTTGTTTCGTGTCTCTGTTGCTGTGATAAGCATCAGTACCAAAAGCAACTTGAGGAGGCAAGGGTTGGTTTCATCTTACAGGTTACAGTCCATCATCAAGGGAAGCCAGGCAGGAACTCAAATGCACAGGCTGAGACTGTGGAGGAATGCTGCTTACTGACTTGCTTCCCCTGGCTTGCTCAGCTACTATTTATTTATTTATTTATTATATTTTATGTATATGAGTGTTTTGCCTGCATGTATGTGAGCATACCATGTGTGTGCAATGCCTGTAGAGGCCAAAAGAGGGTATCAGATCCCCTGGAACTGGAGTTATGGGCAGTTAGATGTTAGGACCTGAACTCAGGTCCTCTACAAGAGCTGCCAGTGCTCTTAACTGCTGAGCCATCTCTCCAGCTCCTTAGCTATTTTTCTTACATAGCCCAGGCCCACCTGTCTAGGGATGGCACCACCCATGGTGGGCTGAGCACTCATACATCAAAGAAAAATTAGGAAAATACCCCCACAGACATGCCCAAAGGCCATTCTGATGGAGGAAATTCCTCAGTTGAGGGTCCCTCTTCCCAGGTGCCTCTAGTTTGTGTCAAGTTGAGAAAAACTAGCCCCCCCCAAGCCTGATGATGTGAGTTCAAGCCCTGGAACCCATGTAAATGTGGTAGGAGAGAACCAACTCCACTTAATTGTCCTCTGCTGTAACTCCCACATATGTGCTGTGGCATGTGTATACATCTCACATGAACACACAATAATAATAAACAGAACATTTCAAGGTAGGGAGAGTTGGAGATCATATCCCCGATCGCAAGGACTCAACCAGTGACCTACTTCCTCCAACTAGACCCCTAAAACAGCTCCTAGCTAGAGCCTGTGGAGGACATTCCATATTCAACCCATAGCAGAGCTGGTGCACAGGAATTATGGGTCTGATTCTTCTAGTCTCTGTCCATCAGAATAACACAGGACCTGGAGGACACAGGTGTCTGTGCCTAGCTGGTGGTAGGCTGCTCCCCCCATGAGACCAGCTCCAGGAGAAACAAGCATTCCATGCCGACACACACAAAAAATGTCTTTGAGTATCTCAGAGCCACGGACATAGTCTGTGTGCAGAAACAACAACTATCCCAACTTATGACCCAACTGCTCTGCCTCTCACTGGGGGCCGGTGGGGCTCAGGCCACATAGAGAAGGGATGAACAATGACAGCCTGCACAGTGCCCTAGGCCCTCCTGGTGCCTGTGCATCCCAGCCCTCTCGAGACCACCTGCCCATCAGATTCCCATCTTATCTTGCTCCCCACATCCTGCTTGAGATAGGCAGTCAAATGCTCTACCACTGAGCTATGCCCCTGCCACCTGAGATCTGGGCCATCTTGGCCTGGTGGTTGCCACCCCTGCATAGGCCGTAGAAGGGGGAAGCTCTGTCCCCCTTGCTGACCTGTGCTGACCCCTTGACACTTGACCCTGTGGCCTAGAAATGTGCTTTTCTTGCTGCTTTCTTTTCTCAAACGTGTTATTACTAATTTTCTTTTTGGAGATAGGATCTTACTTTGTAGTACAGGCTGGCCTTGAACTTGTGATCCTCTTGCCTCGGCTTCCTGAGTGCTGGGATTCCAGGTGTGTGACACCACACCTGCGCTCTTTTTCTCATTTTGGATCCTAACCACTAGCCTTTCTGGAACCTGCATGTGGCTTGTCTGGTGGTTGCTTTGCTTTTATATGCATGTGGCAGTGGAAGGGCCCTGGCGTGGGGTCAGGGAGCCTGGGTGTGCTCTGGAACATGGCAATGAGCTCTCAGGATGAGCTTGCTGAGGATGGTGAGGGAGGGTTTGGAGCCACCCTGTGGGGCGTGGCAAGATAGGCCTGGTTAGATGACTCCTGATAGGAGTGTGTACTATAGGTCAGGGTCAGAAAGCCTGTTCCCCATGCAGCTTCTCTGGGCCTGTCTTAAGATAGGGGAAAAGCACCTGCTGTGGTGGTGCATGCCTTTAATCCCAGCACTCAGGAGGCAGATCTCTGTGTAATCGAGGCCAGCCTGGTCTACATAGTGAGTTCCAGGCCAGACGGGGCTACAGGGAGACCCTGTCTCAAACAAAACAAAACAGGAGGAAAGACTAACATGCTAGAAAATGGTGCGTTAATCCTTTATGTCACCTCGAAGACTTAGGTCTGAACATGAGTGAATCCCAGAATACTTGTTGGTGATCAGACACCTTGTCAATGACTGTGATGACTCAGGAAGGAATGGATTTGGGAACTGTTCAGTGCATGCACATGTGTGCGTGCGTGCATGTGTGTGTGTGTGTGTGTGTGTGCACGTGTGTGCGTGTGTCTCTCTGTCCATAGCTGGGGACGACACCAGGATAATTTTGCGTTCCCATTCCTTCTCACTGCCCACCACCAGGTGCGTTACCTTTTGGAGTGGACAGAGGAAGACCTAGAAGACATGGACAGCACTGTCAGCACAGCGGAGCTTGAATTCTGTCACCCCTTGTGCCAGTGCTCCAAGTGTGCTCTGGCCCAGAAGGTTAGGCATTGCCTGTGTCTGTGGGGTGGGCTGGGGTGGGTGGTACATGTTTCTTTCTGCTTAGGAAGGTTCTCTGCTTCTAAGCTGGGGAATACCCTTAGAGGAATACCTTAAGCCTAGGGGGCTGGGGTTAGTTAACTGAGTGGAGAGCACCAGCCCTAGAGCAGACCTCATCAAGGTTTGCTGGCATCACTATTTTTTTGATGTTCTGATAGGCACGTGTAGTGCTAACTTGGGGTTCACTTTGCATTTTCCTAATGGAGAGTGCTGTTGCAATTTTGTCATGAGCCTTGCTGAGATGTCCTCCCTGCGTAGTCTTGATTGTGCCCTTCAGCTGACACATGACTTCAGTGTCATCGTGTGAGTCTATTTCTGGATTCTCTTCTTGGTTCCATGGACCTGTGTGTCCCTCCTCTGCTTCCCGGATGACACTGGGTCAAGTCAGCCTTACCACCAGGTGTAACCATTCCTCCTCATCCGTTCTTTGCAGGGTCATTGTAGCTATGCCTTTCCATGGGCTTCTTAGAATTAGTTCATCAGTGTCTATGAGCACATACACACAGAGCTGGAGAGATAGCTGTCTGCTCTCCAGAGTATCTGGGTTCAGCTCCCAGCACCCAGATGGTGGCTAATAGCCATCCATAACTCCAATTCCAGGGGATCTGATGCCCTCTTCTGACATTTCATGCACGTGACACACATCATTCCTGCATGCAAAACACTCATACATATAAAAAATAAATTAAAAAAATATTTTTAAAGAACATACACACACACACACCCAAAAAAAAACAAAACAAACCTCCCTGAGATTTTGATAGGCAGTGCACTAAGCCCATGGGTCAATGTGGGAAGAAATAACATGCTTACCACATTCATCTTCTGTGAGCCTGCTCTGTTTTGGGGGGATTTTTTTGGGGGGGTCTTTTTGAGACAGGGTCTCCCTGTAGCCCCAGCTGTCCTGGAACTCTCTATGTAGACCAGGCTGGCCTTGAACTCACAGAGATCCACCTGCCTCTACCACCCAAGTGCTGGGATTAAAGGCATGCACCACCACACCCAGCTGAGCCTGGTCTCTTTCTCCAAATATTTTGGATTTCCTTCATCTTCTTTCTATAATTTTTAGCATACAGTGCTCTCGTCTGTGTTTTTTAAAAAGTATTTCCCTTTCTTCTGAGGAGCTATGAATGGTGTTATGTATATAGTGTGGATTTGCAGTGTAGCTATGCAAATATGGGTGCATACATCCCATATTAAGAAAATTAACTTGCCTTTACATAAGAGAAGGGTGTTATCATTTGTATTTTTTTAAATTACTATTTTATATTTATGAGCGTAGTGCCTGCATGTAGGTAAGTGCACCCATGTCGTGCAGTGCCTGCAGAGGACAGAAGAGGCTGTTGGATCCCCTGGAACTAGAGTTGCGGACAGTTGTTAGCTGCCATGTGCGTGCTGGGAATCAAACTTGGGTCCTCTGCAAGAATAGTCAAGTGTTCTTAACCGCTGAGCCATCTCTCCAGCCCCTGTCCTTTGTATTGTAAGATAATATAGCTTCCAACAGAAGCTTCAACCAGGTTATTCTTAACATAGGAATATAAAATGGCGGGCGGGGCATGGTGATGCATGCTTTCAATCCCAGCACTTGGGAGGCAGAGGCAAATGGATCTCTCTGAGTTTGAGGCTAGCCTGATCTACATAGCAATTTCTAGACCAGCCAGGGCTACATAGTGAGACCCTGCCTCAAAAACAAATAGACTGTAAACCCACACGTATCTGTTTACATAGGTACATGCATGCATTACAGGCTAGGATCTGCATACGAGGGTGCACATGCAGTATTTTCCCTTCTTGAGGTTGGCTGACCTTGCTTAACATTATAATTCTAGGTCCCTCCATTTTCCTGTAAATTTTGTGATTTCATTTTTCTTTAGAGCTGAATAATATTCATCTCTATGTGTGCACTAGATTTTTATTACTTTCATCGTTTGATGGACAACTAGGTTGATTCTATCCTATAACATTTAGAAAGGAGAACAAGAAAAGGTAATTTAAAAAGGCGCACTAATGAGTTCATGTGTGTCGCAAAGCTCCTGTACGTCCTCTGAATTCTGTCTCAGGAGATATACATTTTTTATGTGGAATGGGTCTTGGATGGGGGTGTTCACATGTGATCCATGCAGACTGTGGCCTTCCTTGCAAGGAAATCTAAATTTTAATTATGTTTTATCAGTCTTTTAATACTTCTCTGTGCTTGTTTTGTGTGAATACTAATAAACTTTAATAAAAATAGATAAATAAATGAATAGTAGAGCAGAAAGAAGGGCTGAAGAGATTTCTCAGGGGTTAAGAGCACTAACTGCTGTTGCAGAGGACCCAGGTTTGGTTCCCAGCACCCACTGGTGGTTGGCTCATAACCACCTGTTACTCCTGCTCCAGGGGATTCAATACCCTTCTCTGACATCTGTGGACTCCAGCACACACATGGCACACATAAACTAATGCAAACATACACATACACATACATATAAAAATAAAATAAAAAAAATAAGCCAGGCATGGTACCAAATGCCTTTTATTCCAGCACTTGAGACGTAGAGACCTGTGGCTGTCAGTGAGTTTGAGGCCAGCCTGGTCTACATAGCAAGTTCTAAGCCAGGACTACAAATATAAAGCAAAATAAAATAGAATAGAATAATGTTTTTTAAAAAGAAGAAAGAATCAAGCTTTTTTTTTTTTTTTTTTTTGGTCTTTTTTGAGACAGGGTCTCCCTATAGCCCCTGCTGGCCTGGAACTCACTATGTAGTAGACCAGGCTGGCCTCAATCTCACAGAAATCCTCCTGCGTCTGAATCCCGAGTAAAGGTGTGCGTCACCACCTGGCTCAGAATCAAGCATTTTTATAGTGGTAGCTTTTGTGTTTCTGTATATGACACCTTCCAGTTGGTGTGTTTGGAGTTAGGGTTGACGCACAGTGTTCCTGTGGCTATTCACTGCCCCTGGATTATTTATTGAACAGACTTTATTTCCTCCATTGAATTGCCTTCCGTGATAGGACATCATTGTAGGGGACTTATTTTATTAAAAATAGGAGTTAATCTTTTCTCTCTCATACTTCTCTGAGGAGTGGGAATTCCTTCTTGGGCAGTATTGAGTCTGGGGACCTCTGCAATCCCAAACTCTGCCTAGGAGCTGGCTGTGGAGGCCAGATGACTTCCAGACCCACAGCCTGACCTCTTGAACACTAATGCCATTTGTTTCCATCCCCTGCTTACTAGAAGCTGGCAAGGATTCCTGCCAGTGGGCTTGGTGTGAATGTGACCAACCAGGATGGCTCCTCCCCTCTGCATGTGGCTGCCCTGCATGGCCGGACAGACCTCGTCTCCCTCCTACTGAAGCATGGTGCCTATTCTGGTGCCAGAAACACAAGCCAAGCTGTCCCACTCCACCTGGCCTGCCAACAGGGCCACTTCCAGGTATGAGCTCTGTCTCCTGGGCAGCAGAATTGGGTGCTTGATTTTGGCTAGACCCTCATTTGGTTACAGTGCATGGCCAGAATGGGGTGGCAGGGGAAACCCAGAGGACAGAGCATTCCCTTCTCTCCACAGTACGACTCTGAGATGCACAGATTGGGACCCTTGTGTTTAGGTGCTCTCTGGGGGTGGGGCTGGTCCCCTCCCACATTGCCATTCAGTCTAGGTGGCCCAGGGATGTCATTGTAATTCTGACCCCAGCAAGAATTTGTCTCTTTTACTGGGGTGATAGCCAGCCACCTTACTACCTTTAAGTCTGTGCCAGTTTAGTGCTTTATGAAGTGTAGTTGAGGCTCTGACTTCACAAGAGAGAATTTTGGAATTTTAACTTTCTGTTTTGTTTTGAAACATGGTCTTAGTATGTAAATCCAAGTTGCCTTCACACTCTCAATTCTCCTGCCTCAGCCTCCCGAGTGCTCGGTTTACAGGTGTGTGCCATCATACCTGTCTTTGGAAAGATCAACTTTCTTAATGTCCCGTTTTCTTTTGCAAAGTTATCTGTGTACATTTTTCCACTATGCATCTTTTTTAAGATTTATTTTTTATTTTATATGTATGAATGTTTGCCTGCATGTATGCAAATATACATATGCATGCCTGTTGCCTGTGGAGGTCAGAAGAGGGTGTTGGATTTCCTGGAACTGTAGTTACAGACATTTGTGAGCCACCATGTGGGTGTTGGGAACCTAACCCAGGTCCTCTGCAAGAGCAACTAGTGCTCTTAACCGCTGAGTCATCTCTCCAGCCCCTACACTGTGTATTTAAAAAATTTTTTTGATCTACTTTTATGTGTATGAGTATTGCCTGCATGTATGTGAGGGCACTCACGAGTACAGTGCCTTTGGAGGTCAGAAGAGGGCATTAGATCCCCTGGAACTGGAGTTACAGGTGGTTGTTAGCTACTGTGTGGGTGCTGGGAACTGAACCCAGGCCCTCAGCAAGAACAGCCAGTGCTCTTAACCTCTGAGCCATCTCTCCAGCCCTACACAGTGGATTTTCAAAGGCAGTTCTGCATCTCTCTCAAATGCTTAGCAGAGCACTTCCCACATCATGGAGCGGTGAGGGCAACAGCTGTAGCTCTATAGGGAGCTGTGAAGACGGCAACCCTAGTGCCTGGACTTGCAGTACCAGGGCAGACCCTTGGCGATGTGAGCCCCTCCTACTTCAGTCATCTCCTTTCTCTCCCCAGTACTTGATCTTACCTTAGAGGATTTCTGTTCTGTTCTGTTCTTTTCCTTTTCTTTCTTTCTTTCTTTCTTTCTTTCTTTCTTTCTTTCTTTCTTTCTTTCTTTCTTTCTCTCTCTCTCTCTCTCTCTCTTTTTTTTTTTTTTTTGGTCTTTTTAAGACAGGGTCTCCCTGTAGCCCCAGCTATCCTGGAACTCACTATGTACCAGGCTGGCCTCAAATTCACAGAGATCCACCTGCCTCTGCCTCCCAAGTGCTGGGATTAAAGGTGTGTACCACCACCATGCCTGGCTACCTCAGAGGATTCCCATTTCCAAGTTTTTCAAAAAAAATATTTTATTATTTTTATTTTATGCATATTAGTATGTTGCCTGCACATATGTAAGTGCAGCCCTGTCATGCAATGCCTATGGAGGTCAGAACAGGGCATCAGATCCCTTGGAGCTGGAGTTACAGATGATTGCTAGCCCCCATGTGGGTGCTGGGAATCAAACCCAGGTCCTCTGCAAGAGCATCCAGTGTTCTTAACCACTAAGCCTTCTCTCTAGCCCCTCTGTTTCCAAATTTTAATTAAGATTGAAATTTTTTTCTTCTCTGGGCCAGGTGGTGAAATGTCTGTTAGAGTCCAATGCAAAACCCGATAAAAAGGACCTCAGTGGGAACACACCCCTCACTCTCGCCTGTTCTGGGGGCCATCATGAAGTTGCTGCACTCTTGCTGCAGGTAAGGCCCCTTTCTACCACACAAAGCCTTTTTCTTCTTAACAGTTCTAAGTCTTATTTTAAGATTTATTTGATTTTATTTTATGTGTATGAGTATTTTGCTTCCATGTATGTAAATATACAATGTGCACGTGGTATCCCCGGAAGCCAGAAGATGGAGTCAGATCCTGAGCTGAACTAAGCCATCTCTCCAGCTCTTACTTTTTTTTTTTTTATTACTCATTTAGTTTTTTGAGACGGGGTCTCACTATGTTAGCTTTGGCTGCCTTGGAACTCGCTATGTAGACCAAGCTGTCCTCCAATTCACAGACATCCACCTGCCTCTACCTCACCAGCATTGGATCCCCTGGAGTTGGAGGTTGTGAGCTGCCCAACATGGGTGCTTAGAACCAAACTCGGGTTTTCTGCAAGAGTAGCAAGTACCACGTCTTAGCCCCCAGGGTTTTATTTTTGTAACTGTTACCTTCTATTTAAGCAGCCTCTCCCTCCCCCCATACTGTCAAAAGCTACAATGAGCATCTTTGTTCATAAACTCTTTTTGCTTAGCGTTTCTTTTATCCACAATTTACGATACATCTTTCCTTTTTAATGTAGAAATTTGTTGAAGAAGATGAAGAAATTGAAAGAATTTATAGCGAACCATATGCCTATAATCCCAGTACTCAGGAGGCTAAGTTTGATGCCAGTCTGGGCCTCATAGCAAGCTTGAGGCTGGTCTGGACTGGACTATGTAGTGAGACCATCTCAAAAAAAGAATTTTTTGGACCGGGGAGATGGCAAAGGAGATGAAAGCACTTGTGTACAAGCCTGATGACCTGAATTCCATCCCTGTAACCCACATAAAAAGCCAAATACGGTGTTTCCATGTCTGTGTTTCATGTCTGTGATTCCCAATGCTCCTACAGTAAGATGGGAAATGGGAGGAGAGACCTTGCCTCAAAAACAAGGCCGAAGGAAAGAACCAACTCCGAAGAAGCTGTCCTTTGACCTTCACGCCCGCCAAGTGCACTTGCTCGCGCTCTCAAAATAAATAAACCTTCAAAAAGTATTTCATAGTGAACACTCACAGTGTCTGCACGTACTGTCCTGTTTCTCTCTGTAGCATGGGGCCTCCATCAATGCTTCCAACAACAAGGGCAACACAGCCCTGCACGAGGCTGTGATAGGGAAGCACGTCTTCGTGGTGGAGCTGCTTTTGCTGCATGGAGCATCCGTTCACATCCTGAACAAGAGGCAGTACACGGCTGTCGACTGCGCTGAGCAGGTGATGGAGAAAGCTTGCGGTGTCGCGAGGCAGTCCCATGCTCCCTGGGGCTCGCTGGGGCTTCCTTGTGTTCAAACCAGATCCAAAGTATAGACAGCCTAATCTTTGGTTGTGCAGAGCTAAGTGAGTGTGGCAGGTGTCCGCTGGCATGGCTGGATCCTTGATCATTGTCACTGGTTGGTTGATGGGGTGGGCATGCTCAAAGTGCCAGGGATTATTCTTTATGGAGTAGTTTCAAAGGCCTGGGTAAAGGTGCTCCCTCTACTTGCCAACCGACCCCAGGAGGCACCCTGGTCTGGCACATGGTATATGCACCCAAATCCTCAGGGAAGTGGCATGTTAGACACCCAGAAAGGTTTGCCAGTCCTGTAGCATGATGGGGAGTTGTTTAGTTTGGGGATTCTGAGAGAGCTCGTGTCACCAGAGTGTGAACTCTCTACTGTGTAGTAGGTCTGTCATGGAGAGTGATGAGTTTGAAGGTAACTCTCCTCTCTTCCTGTCTTCGTGGTGAATCTTTGCTTTCCTACTCAGAATGGACAGTCAGTTGGCTGTTAATTGTCCCAACTGAGATGTTAAAGTCCCTGTAAATCCAACCTAATTACTAATTTTAAGGGTTGAGGCATGGTTCAGTGGTAGAGCCCTTGTCTAGAATCCACCAGTGAGGGGTTGGGTGTGGCTCAGTGGTGGAGCACTTACTTGCCTAGACTCCCCCAGTAAGAGGCTAGGGACATAGCTCAGTGGTAGAGTGTTTGCCTAGCATGGATAAAGCCCTGGTTTCCATCTCTAGCACCTCAAAAAAAAAAAAAAAAAAAAAAAAAAAAAAAAAAAAACCCCGAAAAAAAAAAAAAAAAAAAAAAAAGCTCCCAAATATTGTCTCCAGTGGCATTTCTTAAACCTGGATATTGTCTTCATCTAGAGATTAAGTATACTTTAAAAAGATGTGTAACATAAAGAGGGAGGGAATATGGTGGTTAATTTTAGGTGTTCCCTTGGATGGGTTGAGCTGTGCCCTGTTGGTTGGTAGAAAACTGTTTCTGGATATGTCTGTGAGGGTTGATACTTTTTTTTTTAACAGAATTGAAACATTTTCAAAACTTTTCATTTACTACTTGCTCAATGGATGATGCTGAGTAAGTTCTATTGAGTAATGGGTGGTAGCTTCAATAGCCTCCTGTAAACGCATCATGTCAGTATCCGAACCTATTGTGCATACCCTACTGTGCAGCTCTGTGCAGCTGTGTAGAGTAGCTTCAGGCCTCAGCTGCAGTACCTGGTGAAGCCAGAGCGTCTTCCAAATGAAGAGCACGGTGTTTTGGAGACAGTCTCACTATGTTGCCCAGGCTTGAACTCCTGGGCTCAAACCTGTTTCCTGCCTCAGCCTCCCAAGTGCTGGGACAATAAGCATGTGGCAGGGCTTCAGCACTAGGTCTGTGGCCTCAGAGTTTGTTTTCAGTTTCTGAGCTCTGGGGGAAGGTTACAGTTGTGCCAATAGTGGCATTTTGATAGAAACCCAAGTAATAATCTATTGAGAAAACATTTAAGAATTTAGTGAACTTTTCCCTTTTAAAATTGTAGAATTCAAAAATAATGGAGTTGCTTCAGGTAGTACCAAGTTGCGTTGCTTCGTTAAATGACATCGATGAGACAGACCACAAGGAGTACGTGACTGTTAAGATCAGGAAAAAATGTAAGTGTTTCTAGTCTAAATCCTCACGTTGGGTTCATTTGGAAATTCATGGATAATTGCCAAGGTTTTTGTTTTGTTTAGAAATATTTTGTTTATTTTATTTGTATTTTTTACATGTATGAGTGTATTGCCTGCATGTGCATCCATGTTGTGTAGTGTCCACAGAGGTCAGAAGAGGGCATCGGATCCCCTGCAACTGGAGTTATGGTTGTCAGCCACCATGTGGGTGTTGGGAATTGAACCTGGGTCCTCTGCAAGAGCAGCCAGTGCACTTAACCACCGAGCCATCTCTCCAGCCTGAATTTAAAAAAAATTTTATTATTTTTATTTTATATGTATGAGTATATTGCCTGCATGTGTGTAAGTGTACCCATGGCATGCAATGCCCTTGGAGATCATAAGAGGGCGTTGGATTCCCCTGGAACTGGAGTTAAGGACAGTTGTTAGATGCCATCTGGATGCTGGGAATCCCTCTTAACCACTGAGCCATGTCTCCAGCTCCCGTAGTTGCTGGGCTTTAGTGTGTGTGCATATGCATGTGTGTATGCATGTAAGTACATGTTCTTGTGTGTGAGCATGTCTATGTGTGCTTGTTTGTAGAATTCAGAAGTCAACCTCAGGTGTCATTTCTCAGGAGCTGCGCACCTTGGAGCTTGCTGAGTAGGCTAGGCTGACTGGTCAATAGGCTCTGGAGATCTGCCTGTCTCTGCCGCCCTAGAACTAGGATTACAAGCGCATGCTACCATGCCCAGCTTTTTTAGGTGGCTTCTGGGGCTCAAACTCAGGCCCTCATGCTTGCATGGCAACTGAGCTATCTCCCCCAGTCCTTCATTGTGTGTGTGTGTGTGTGTGTGTGTGTGTGTGTGTGTGTGTTTTGAAGTGCTGGGCATGACCCCAGGACCTCATATATACTACTGCTGAGCCACACCTGCAGCCCTGGTTTTCATTTCATTGTAAATGAAAAATGTAATTATTGGCATTAGTAAAAGAGTTCTAGGGACCGCAGACGCCATGCTCTGTTCTGGTTTCCTCCAATGAGGAGCTTTATTTGAACTAGTTTTCTGGTTGAGTGTAATCATGACTCCTGAGGAGTTGGACACAGTCAGCATTAGCTTTACCGTCAGGCCTCTCTCTTTGCCATCTGGAGAGAGCAGCCGTCTTCGTAGCTGGTGCCCTGCCTCCTGTTCTAAAGCCTGGTGTTCTGCACATTTCCTGGACATCCGGGGTGAATGCTAGCTTCCTTAAAAGGTCTTGTTCCTTCTGTGTGTGGTGATGGGGATGCGGCCTCCACGGCATTGCACACACTGGGTGAGTGTCCCAGCACTGAGCCCCACTAAAGAGGGTGATGGTTATTAGAACAGCACCTGCCACATGATGGCGGGAATAAGTATTTTCTTCCTTTTAAAAGTTAGTCCATAACTCCAGTTCCAAGGGATCTGATGCCCTCTTCTGGCCTCCATGGGCATTGCATTCATGGCGTACTTACATGCATGGTTGCAAAACACTCAGATACATAAAGTAAAAATAATAAACAAAATATTTTTTAAAGTTATTTAGATGCTAGAGAGATGGCTCAGTGGTTAAGGACACTGACTGCTCTAACAGAGGACCCGAGTTTGGTTCCCAGCACCCACATGGTGGCTAACAACTGTCCATAGCTCCAGTTCCAGGGAATCTGACTCCCTCTTCTGGCCTCCATGGGCATTGTACACGTCATGTACTTACATACATGGACACAAAGTACATTGAAAATTATTTTTTTAAAGTTATTTAAAAGGGATTCTTGTTTTAGGAGCTTTTAAAAATAGTTTTGGCCAGGCATGGTGGTGCATGCCTTTAATCCCAGCACTCAGGAGGCAGAGGCAGGTGGAGCTCTGTGAGTTCCAGGCCAGCTGGGGCTACAGGAAGACCCTGTCTCAAAAAGACCAAAAAAAAAAAGAGCTTTGAATGCAATTGCAATAATGTAGTTAAACCCCTCCTCACCTCCCTAGATAATCATGAGGTGGCCCTGCCATAACTGGGGAGTATCTGTGTATTGGGGTTTTATCTTTGTGTCACAGGGGTTCACCTAGTCAAAAACAGCTATTTTCCCCCCAGCTAGCCTAGAACTCACTATGGAGACTAGGCTGGCCTCGAACTCACAGAGATCCACCTGCCTCTGTGTCCCCAGTGCTGTGACTAAAGGTATGCACCACCACACCCAGCTCTGCTAATAGGCTTTTAAAGAAAATTCACTGCTTAATTTTCTAAATTTTGTTAAACTAAGAAATCAGGGCGTTTGTGTGTATTCTGCAGCCTTAAAACCACCTTCTTTTTTTTTTTTTTTTAAGTTTTCAGATGTTTTTTTGATGTTTTATTTTTTATTCACAGGGAACTCAAAAATGTATGACTTACCAGATGAGCCTTTTACTAGGCAGTTTTGCCTTGTTCACTCAGGGGGTCGGTTTCCGTGAGTATCTAGTTTTAAGTTAACTTTTGTGCTGTTGATTCTGCAGTTTGCTTACCTTGGAAGCTGGGGGATGTGCGGCTGCAGTTGGTCACACAATGCTGCCACCTTGTGGCCAACTGTTAACCCAGACTACTTAGTTTGGTTTACTTTGGGTTCATAACTTACTTTATCTTGGGTTTCAGGGAAAGGACTTCCCGGGAGATCATGGCAAGGGATAGAAGTGCACCTAATCTCACAGAAGGGTCTTTGCATCAGGTGAGTTATTAAACATTGGCTTATAATTTTAATTTTTACAGTCTTTTTCTAAAGTTACCCACAATAAGCCTCTTTCCCCTTGACAATCATCTTCATTAAGCTCCTTCATTGAAAGAATTAACAACAATTAAAAAACGCAGTTCTTCAGTGGGGCAGACAAGAGAATGGGTAAATTTAAAATGGCAGTCCTGGTTTAAAATGGCAGTCCCGGCTGAGTATGATGGTCACATCTTTGATCCCGGCACTTGGGAGGCAGAGGCAGGCAGATGTAGGCAGATGTCCATGAGATTGAGGCCAGCCTGGTCTACATAGCAGGTTCCAGGCCGCTTAAGGCTACAGCGAGACGCCGTCTAAGAAAGAAAGTTACAGTTCTGAGCAGAGAAAGTGAGGGAGAAGTAGAAAGTCGTGGCGTGTGTGGGAAGTTGCCAATGTGTACAGTAGGTACAACAGCGTGGATTTCACTGTTTTAGTCTGTAAGGAAGAGCTGTATGTGTCTGCGCAGGTGAGGAAGCCACACGTACAGTGACGTGTGACACTGTTCTTGCTGTGCTGCCTCCCTCTTGCTCTGAGTCAGTCAGTGAGCCAGAGAAGCCTGTTTTGCTGTCTTTTAAGTGGCCCTTCTCAGAAACATGCCATTCTCAATTGCTGACAAAGGGCCAGCATACATGTCACAGGCTTGCTGGGACATTTTAGAGAATTCAGGTGATTCTTATTGGTGTAATAAATTTCAGCAAGTTTTTTTTCCCTCTCTTTGGAGACAGTTTCATATTGTGGCCCAGACTGTCCTCAAACTTATGGCAGTCCTCCTGTCTCCCAAGTGCTAGGGTTACAGGTATGGGCCACCAAGCCCAGCTAGCTTGACAAATACTTTTATTTCACATTTCATCTTCTGTAGCTTTCCTTATATACCTGGGTGGGAAACCGTAAACTTCAGAACTCACTGACGTTCAATTAAAAACTCACCCTCTGTGGTGTGACTTAGAGGTTCTTACCGTGCTGATCCCGTTTCCTTGGCGGGACCAGCAATAGCACGGATTGCTTGTTACATACATGTGGAAACATGCAAAGCACTTAGTGTGACACATGTTGCATACACACATCAAACACCATCATCACAGGGGCACTAGAATGGCACTGTGTCTAGTTCCCAGCACACAGTCGACACCCTTAGGGGCAGCTGCTGTGGAGGTGGTGGTTCAAAGCATAGTGCAGTCATGAACTTAATTCTATCTTCTCTTCAGCCAGAGAAGCCGAGTGTCATGGGGAAGCAGAAAGACCTGTCAGAGCAAAGCAGATGTCAGACTTCTGAGGAAGGATTCAAAGAGAGACCTGTCGTGAGCCAGGCTGTCCCTGGACATAGGCGGATGCTCCGCAGGCACACGGTTAATGATGCTGCAGTACTCCAGGGCCCAGATATGGCTGGCCAACTAACCACACATGAGGCTAGTGTTTCCCAGTCTTAACAGTAAGGACTGAATTTGCTGCTGTGAAATGAGTATGGAGGAAGGAGGCTGAGCATGAATACAGCTTAGAACTAAGTACACTTTTAAGTAACCAGCTTGAGACTGTCCTCAGCAGAGTTCTCGAAAGCTTTTCTGTGGCTGGGCGAATGAACACAACAAAAAAGCCCTTAGCACCCTCTCTCCCCAGTTCAAAGCTAACCGATATACTTGAAAAGGAATGGACACAGCCAGCCCCTTATTCTAAGTATTCGGATTTCTTGGTTACAGGCAGAGGTTTCCCCATCAGATTCTGACCACCTTTGACTAGAAGGTGCTAAACTTATGTGGTACGGATAAGTTAGCAAACCGTGATCTAAAAGGATTCCCCCATCTGGAGGAAGTTGGAGAAGGCAATTTAGATTTTGTGATACTGTGGACACCAGGCAGAAGCATCCCCTTGGGATTAAGAGATGGAACCTGGAAACTCCTTTGCAAAGCAACACCTGTACCAGAAGATGCATAGATGCCATGTTGACGTTCTGTGAGGATCTGTCGCTCTGGTCCACACCATGCGAAAGGAACAGTTGGCCATGACTTCCAACAGTATACAGACGCTTGGTCAGTGCACGTGTGCACCTGTAGCAGTTTCTGCAGCCGCCCCTTTCCATGGAGACCGACCCTGGTCACACCTGCCAGATGGTTACTAGAGAGCAGATTTGGCACATCTTTGTCTTTTGATTCAGATTCAAAACTTTGAGCACAAACCAGGTCGTTACTTTAAATTAGAGCTTATTGCCATTTATTCCTTTTTATGAATGTCTATAGATTCTGTTATTGTTTTTATGTTACTGGTTTAGAGCCGCAAACATGGGTTCATCCTGAGTACATATTCAGAGAACTTTGTAATAGGGAAGTGGTTTTGTGCACGTCCTTGGAGAGACCTGTGTATTATAGAAGGAAAGGGATGTTTTTCTACAAAATAATTTATGACTTCTAATTTTCTAATGTGCCTTGGAAATGTGCCAAACGATGGAAAAGAAACAGTAAACTCTGATTCTTGAGCGTGTCAGCATGATTTTCTACTGTTTTGCTGTTTCTCAGCCTCCCTGATACAAACCTGGGATGGGTAGTGTGTTTAGTATTTACAGATGTGTGACTGAGACACAACTTGCTCAGAGAACTGTCAACTCGATCAGGGTTTAATGGTGTAGTAGACATACTGTCAACGTCCCACACAATTCTTTGACATGCCCACAAAGACGGCTTTGTGTGTGCTTCTGTGTTGACCAGGCTGGTCTTGCACTCTGTAACCCAGGCAGGCCTTGAATTTTTGACCCTACTGCCCCAACTTCCTAGTAGCTGGGGTCAGTGCCACCACTCAACTCCAATCAGAAGGATCACAGCCTCCCAAGGAAAAAGTAAGCACTGAGGCTCTGCTCACGTTTTCTCCTTTTCCATCCTCAAACAAAACCTCTTTATTGATGTGTGGTACTCTTGACTGTAACATCCCGATTGGTACTCTGTCCTACAGTTTATCGACGTAGGCTCAGGATGCAGAGATGCACCTGTTCTGATTCTGCAGCGGGTGTGGGAGCCATCTCCCTCCATTACTTCTTTCTGTTTTCTCAGCTGCTTTCTTCACTTGACTTCATGTGGCAGTTCAGAAATCGGTAATGCTCAACCTCTTGTGTAGAAATGCTTCAATTCAGAGCACTGCCAGGTCACTGATTTCAGAATGTTGAGGGCAACCGTCCACACGCCCTAGACAAGAATGCAGTACCCTTTGTTGCGTCCTGTATCCTTGCGTACACAGCCACTTTTCATTCTCAAGTGTCTTTGAACTGGAGTTTAATAATCTTTCAACAATTTCAGCTAGTATTCGGCAGTAAGACTGACAACTCTGTAAGAGGAAACAAGATCTGCTGAGAACTGTCTCATGTCTTTCTACAATTTTTATATAAACGGGTCATAAAGAAAAAGTTACTGTAATTGGGAATTTTTCAAAGTTCTTAAACAGGGTAGAGAATGTGCCTCAGCTGGTAGTTTGCTTGGCATTCATGAAGCCCTGGGTTCAGTCCCCAGCATCACATAAACCAGGTGTGGTGGCACAGGTCTGTAATCTCAGCACTGGAAGTGCAGCAGGAGGATCAGGAGTTTGAGATCATCCTTGGCTAGTGAGTTGAAGCCAGCCTGGGATACCGGAGTGTCTGAAAAACAACAGTTATGCCAGGTGTGGTGGCGCACGCCTTTGATTCCAGCATTCTGGAGGCAGAGGCAGGCCGATCTCTGTGAGATCAAGGCCAGCCTGGTCTACACAGCAAGTTTCAGGCCACCTGGGGCTACAGGGGAAACAACTCCTCTAACCCCCACCCCAATCCTTGAACAAAGTTTGACAGTGCTAAACTTAAAAAGAAGCTGGTATTTTCTCTTTGAGAACATCTGACACTTATTCCAAAACTTTCTTCACTTAACAGTTAATGAAGGAGCAGTACCTGCTCTGCACTGTGCTGCCCAGCTGCTGAGTCGGGGACCACACAGCACACTCCCACTGCTTCTACAAATCCTGCCGTTTATGAAGTTACTCCTGGGCTGGGTCCTACGGAACCAAGACATTTCAAATGTTATACCGAGTGGCCTAGTTGATAACTTTGTGATCAAATTTATTGAGTTTTCTAAACTACTGAAGCACAGTATAAAGACCCTGGTGCTAAAATTCCTTCTGGGAGGCATGCATGGCGTCTGGCCCCTCCTCCCACTGTCCTTATGACAAAATGAGGTGTAATTTCTCCAAGTACAGTTTGGGGAATCAAACAGCGGTTGTCCAAGATGGTGAAGCCCCCCCCCCACCGTCCCCATCATCAGTCCCTCCCCCATGTACCACTCAGGCCAGCTAGATGGATGGCATGACTGACTCTGCCCCTCCTCTCCTGGGGGAAGTTTGTGGTGTTCGGAGCAAGCTGGTGACTCCCAGGCTTAAGAAGGCATCTGTCCACTGCTTGCCAGTCTAGCTTGCCTGGCGGAGGACAAGTCCATACAACAGATCCACACCTTGACTCGAGCCCAGAACAGCCTATCACAGTGTGTAACTGTCAAACTGTCTCAAATGAGACTGGCATTAGAAGGTATTCCCCTCTTTAGTTTCTATCTACATATGTGTGTGTGCAGGAGGGGGTATGTGTACACACACAGATACCCATGGAAGCCAGGTTTGGATCTCCGAGAGCTACCCAATGTGGGTGCTGGGATATAAACTCGGTGCCTCATAAGGAGCAGCAAGTGTTCTTAACCACTGAGCCATCTCTCCAGCCTCCCCCAAGTTCTCTTATAAACATGTTTACAGTTGAACGGTCACCACAGGGATGGCCTAGTTATTTTGCAGGAAGTACCACTCTAGTTATATTTGTTAATTTAACCTCATGCCTTTGAATGAAGTAAATTAGTTATAATCAGAAGCTAGGAATTTTTGTAGGTTAAGTAAGTGCTACCTGCAGGGAGAGAACATGTTTCTGCCGTTAGAAGTTTGCCTTAGCAATATTGCACGTGTTCCATGATTCAGCTGCCCAGGGGTTTCTTTCCCTCAATGTCACTGGCCGCTACAGTGTCCTGTCCTCACTGAGGTATGCCAGCACAGCTTCTCTGTCTCCTTAGCACATTTCTCCATCTCACACTGATGTCCCAGCTGCGAAGGATAAACTCACGTACTCATACATTTTTAAAAGTACTCTTACATTTAAAAGCATTTGGCAGGAAGGAAAAACAAATCAAAATGCAGATCTTCTTATAAGCTGCCTGTGATATGGAAACACCCACACTGCTTGAGTTTGCATAATAAGTTTATTTTTTTTTCAAGACACATATAGACAATAAACAAAGTAAGTATTTAACAGATCGCAACCACCCTAGAAAGCGCTCCATTAAGTCTCTAAAGTTTTATCTTAGAAATCGTCATCTTCATCAGAGTCCATTACTTTTCTTCTGTTGAACTAGGGGGAAATTAAACGAGCGTCAGAACACATTTAATAAAGCCTAGCTCAGGCTTTCTGAGAAGGAACATTTTTACTTACTCAAGCAAGGCTTTTTTGTTTAACTCTGAAACAACTTGGTGAGTGAAGAGGGGCGAGTTTAAGAGGCAAAAACCTTAGAAATCACAACCCTCTCTGTATAGCCAGCTTTTCTCCCCGTCCACGTTACAGAACCAAAGTGTCAGCAAGCTCAAAGACACTCTGGGACCACAGATGCATGTTCCAAACTTAACGAATACAGCCTTGTCTTTTGCCATGTGCATTCAGGGAAACTTACTTTAACTGTGGTTTTCTTTTCTGTTTGTTGGCTTACTTTCTCAAGTATCTCTATTAAACCTTGTTCTGATACCTAGGATAACCAGAAAAAAAGTGTTTTAAAGCAAAGAACATCCCTAAGCAGACTGAATCACAAAGACTCTAAGCAGTCTTCGTAGGTGTGGGGGAAGAGGTCAGAAGTGGAGGGACAGCTTCCTTAGAAAAGCTCAAGTTAGCAGGTTTAAGGTCATTTTTGTTACTGAGACAAAGTAACCGTAACCACTGGGTTAAGGCTCACAGGGACAGATATACCACACCTCTGCCCACAAGAAGCCTAAACGCCACCCAGAGATGTGAACCTCAAAAAAGATCAACTTGCTGGGCAGGGTGCCACATGCCTTTTGGTTCTAGCACTTGGGAGGCAGAGGGAGGTGGATCTCTGTAAGATCGAGACCAGCCAGCCTGGTCTACATAGCAAGTTCCAGGTCAGCTGGGGCTACAAGGAGACCCTGTCTCAAAAACACAAAAAAGATCAACTGGTTCTCCCCCACCTGTGGGAGATCTCTGTGTGAGGGGCTCAGGTGTCAGCAGAGGGCTGCAAGGCTGGGCTTGTGTAGATGCTGATGTCTGAAGGGTGGGCTTCCCAGAGTATAACCCTCAGGGAACTGTAACCATATATACACAAACCCAAGCATTTTAGTCCCGCCTAACAAGTGCAAAACAAACCTAAGCTCTACATAAACACACAGTCTTTTAATTGCTATTACTGACTAACCCTGTTTCCAATGCGGCAATTTAAGCCAGGGGACCACAGTCATTGGCTCACAGACACCCACAATGCCAGGAAAGGAGAAAGCTGAGCATTTTAGTACAGGCAATTATCATTCAGATTTACAGTAGGGGTGATTATTTTCTCCCACCCCTTTTTTTCATAGGCAACAGGAATTCAATATTCAGATATGGAAATGGCTTGAAGTTTTTAAAAAAGTTTCATTTATGTTTATGTGTCTACCATATGTGTGTAGGTGCCAGTGGGGGGCAGAAGAGGGTGTTGGATTCCTGCAGTTGGAGTTACAAGTGATTATGAGCTGCCCAAGGTGGATGTTGGGAATGGAACCTGGGTCCTCTGCAAAAGCAGTCAGTACTCTTACCCACTGAGCCACTTCTCCAGCCCCAAAGCCATGTTTTATAAGGTAGAGAACACTCAGTTAAGGTTCAGGCTGTTGGCGCTTACCTTCCCACCTAGTTGTCCATACCGTGCCATCTGTATTAGGTAATTCTCTACTGCTTTAGTTTTTTCAGGCTTTACAAGTGCTAAGTTACTTACTACAAAGAAAAAATACATATATAAAAAGGGATCAAGACCAAATGCACTAATTATACCTCAACACTATTCACTAACACCTCCAAGATACTTCACGAGTTTGTCAACAGACAAAAGTTCGACAGGGCAGACAGTACCATTATCCCTCTTTATAATGACAACACAGAAGTTCAGCCATGTCACCTTTGGTGAGGGTCACTCAGTGACAGCGGTGGAGCCAAGATTAAACTTGAGTTCTCAGTTTCTAAACTCGATGCTTACAACTGTGTGTAAAATGAAGGTGTGATGGGTCTATGGCTACCTCTTCTAAACTCAGGCTGGGCTTCAGTTACCATGTAGATGCTAGTTTATTCTGATTGGCCCTCTTCTTTCTTTTCTACATGTTTTCCCTTTGAGATTTTACTATGAATGTAACACCAAAACTGAAAATTCAATCCTCATTGCCCATGTCAACTACCAGCAACACTTTGTGACTATTTAAGAGTTGCTCCTTCTAGTTTTTACTGAAAGCATACTTGAGGAACATCTCAGAATTGAGCTTCAATTTTAATAACCATTTATCTATTTCTCTAGGCTTATAAACTTCATACTTATTACAATAATATATACTTCAAGCATCTTTAAACATTTAAACTATAGAGAACAATAACCACATATATCTATGTACCCATTCAACTACCTTAAGCCAGTTTTAAGGGGATAAAGGAACCTGAAGATGCTTACACCTGGCCCGGGCTGACTGATCCAGAACTTGGGCTAAGATACCGTTTCTCATTTCTGCTTCCCTGTAACAAAACACAGGTCAAGCAAAATTAGAACTATGCTGCTGGCATGCTGAATGGATGTACAAAGTCATTTACCCAATGCTTCCTTTAATTTTTTTTTTTAACATTTATTTATATGGGGGGGGGTGCCATGGCATGCATGGTGGTCAGGGAGCAATTTTCAGGAATCAGCTCTCTCCTTCCACCATGTGGGTCCAGGAGACAACTCAGATCACCAGCATTGGTGGCAAACACCTCCACCAGCTGAGCCATCTAACTAGCCGTTTATGAGACACCTGTGGGACACAACTGTACAATGCTAGTTGCTTTTGACATCCAAGAAGCACCTGTAGATATAAACCTACCAGCAGGACCAGAAATTACTTTTATAAAGTGGCATTTCAGTTCAAACACCATTTACAGCATTAAGTGCCTAGTGTCACAAGTATCACAAAACGAGTTTCAAGCAATCAGAAGGACTAAGTGAACAATTTGTGTACTTTCCCTATTGAGGACAGGGAAAGCTATGCAGTCTATGAAAAAGATAAACTGTGGCCCAGACAAAAGCAGATCCAATGTGTAAAGACTTTCAATTCCACTTTCTGGATGGGGAAGGGAATGAGATTCTACCTCTATAACTATCCTTGCTTCTTCCTACCAGCTCAAGCAGAAACCAGGGGACACTGGTTTCAAAGTTTTCTGGAGACAGGGTTTAGTCATGGAGCCTTGGCTGGCCTGAACTGTGCAGACCAAGTTTGGCCTCAAACTCAGAGATCCATCTGCCTCTCCTCCTCATCCTCCAGAGTGCTGGGATCAAAGGTGTGGGCCACCACGCCCGGGACCTGGCCTCAGGCATTTGCTCTTCCTTCCTCAGCCTCCCAAGTACTGGGGTTCCAAGAGTGTGCCCCACATTCTGCTCTCACCCTGTAAGTAGGAGGCTTTTTTAAGCTTCTCCAATTTTCCCTTTAAGGAATCTACTATACAAAACAGAGAATAGCAGAGATGTTCTGGCTAAAGGGAGCTCCGGGGCTGGCTGTGCCCATTCTCTAGGGTTCCTGGACCAGATTTAAAGTTTACTCCCAAAGGCCATTTCCTCATTGCTCATGTGTGTCAGCCCTGCCACTACTACTACTGTTAACTTCCCCTGAGTCTAAGATGGTAAGAATCTTAATAAGATGTACCAGATGCCTTTGCCTGTTTGCAGTACCAGAGACTGAACCCAGGGCTTTGCTTATGCTAAGCAAGTCCTACCTCTGAGTTTGAGGCCAGGCATGATGGCACACGCCTCTAATCCCAGCACTCAGGAGGCAGAGCCAGGTGGATCTCTGTGAGATGAGGTCAGTCTGGTCTACAGAGCAAGTTCCAGGCCAGCTGAGGCTACAGGGAGATCTCGTCTGGAAAAAAAAAAAAATCGGTCTGAGACAGGATCTTGCTAAGCTGCCCAGGCAGACCCTGGATTCCTGAACTTGTGATCCTCCTGCCTTAGATTCTCAAGCAGCTGGGATTATAGGCATGAGCCACCACTCCTGGCTTAAAAGACATCCCACATGAAGGAGCTAGTAAGAGGCCCTCACTAAAGATGAGCAATATAGTGACAGCATCAGTGCAAGGTAAACAAGAAGAAAGGCGTAATGAGGAATCTTGCATGCACCTGACCCTGAGGGAGAAAATTCCTCTGAGCATTGAAGATTTAATTCTGCAGGCTGTGATCTGGATTCATGCTACTGGGGGCGGGGGGGACCTCAAGCAGAGAATTTAATTTTAAAGCCTCAGATGTGAAGTACAGAAGTAAAAGTTAGTCCTCTTTGGAGGAATCCAGGACAAGAACAGTGGATTATAAAACATATCCCAATCTCAGAGGTTAAAGTGTGAGCAAACGTACTTTTGAGCATCAAGGAACTAAGCAGCTTTACCCTGTTCCTGCCACTGTCCCGGGTCCCCAGCAGTCTGCTTTCTCCTGAAGCTTCTCTACCATGCCCATCGACAGAAATGTCTGTAGCCAAGTAGGGGCTCAGTAACTATCTGCTGAAGGATGGAGCGTATGGGGAGGGGGTGGCTTCATCAATAAACCCAGTTCCAGTTCTACATATAGAAAAGGTCTAAAGAGCTGGTGCACCACAGTGCAGACAGAACAAACACTAATGAACACTACACTTTAAAGGTTGTGACAGTTCGTTTTATTTGTGTGTGTTTAAAAAGTTAGTATAGTAGAGTGAAGCATATTCACTCAATAAAGGACCACTGAATTAATGTCTGCATGTGTGTGAGGTGCTCTGCTATGCATCTGGCTAAAACAAGTCTGAACAGTACAGTGGAAGTGAATTGCTAAACTTACTGTGAGGCATTGTGCCCAGAAGTCCCCCTGAAGGAGTTCTATTGCTATGCTTAGAAGAGAGGCAGCAGCCAGTAACTTTCAATACAAAGTATTAAGTGGGGCTCCCCACATACGCATTGAATTAAACTAAAATGGGAATTACTCTAATGTGAACTTATGGAAAAATCGCTATGCCAGGAAAATCTTTTAAGAGTCACATACCCATTACAACTACTAAACAAAAAAAGAAAAAAATCCAATCTGTAAAACTGCCCTGCAAAAAAAAAAAAAAAAAAAAGCCCAGACTTCTAGCCCATACCTTTGTTTGGCCTCCTGCTGGGCTGCATCACCAGGATCCTGAAAAACAGAATTTTACCTTTTTAATTGAGTGGAATTTCAGAGAAGGGAGAAAAGGAGGGATTGCAGGAGTGGGGTGGCACACTGTAACTCCATGGGCAGGAGGATTTCAAGTTACAGGCCAGCCTGTGTTATACGAGGAGACCCAATCTCAAAATAAGGTAAAATAGCAAATAAAATGAAAAAGAAAAAATTAAGGATTCATTCTGTTTTCTTTTGGACATAACAGGTTCCTGTGGTGGTTGAGACCACTTACCTAGTAATCGAAAAGTTGGGACTCATTCAAACAAAAAAAAAAATCATTGAGATGGTTTCCAACTGCAGTGTTTTTGTCTTATTAAATACGGAAGGGCTGAGGATGCACCCCGGGAGGAGGGGTGATAATGCAAGCTAGGCAAGCTCTCGATCTCCTGGCTACACCCCTAGCTCCACACTTACAAAGTGTGGACAAGCTTCTAAAGTCACAATCTAATAGAATATTTGAGAACACAAACATTCCCCGGAGAGGCCATGTATTACAAACCCCCATTTGAGAGTAGGAAGGTGGTCGGTAAAAGAAAACTCTAGGTCCTGGTTGGAAGGACGCTGATGGGTCGGTCCATCAGCGCACCTTCCGGGCCACCCTTTCTAGAGCTCGGTTACACCCACTCCTCCCACCCCGCTGGGGTGGCAATTAGCGGTCCCTACCGTGTCCCCAGCACGCAGGGCACAGAGGACCCTCCCCACGGTGTGACTTCCGGTCAGCACTACTGAGTTCCAAAAAGCTCGCGGCCGCGGGGAGCAAATACTGAGATTTGGGGGCGACACTGGGGTGCGCACACGGCCCCGGCCCCGCGGGACCTAGAAAGGGGCTACGGAGGCCTCGCTAGTCCCATGAGGCCCGGGCGGAGCGTGGGAACCGCGGCCCACGAGCAAACGCCTCTGGCCTCCGCCCCGGTCGAGGGCGGCGCCTCCATTCGCCCGCTCACCCCGTGCTTGGCCTGCAGCTCGGCCAGCCTCTGCTTCCTCAGTGCCTCCAGATCCTCGTCCGCCATGGTGCGGCCGTTCCGCGTCTCACAGCCGCCGCAGTCGGGAATCCCGCCGCCGCCGCCGCCGCCCTCGGGTCCACAGCGAAGGACTCTTCAGCTCCTCCGCGCGACCGCAACGACCACTACTGCGCAGGCGCGCGCGATGGCGCTCAGGCATCACCAATCGAACCCCGAGCCAGGGCGCCGCGGAGAGGACCAATACCGCGATAATGGGCGCTGCTAGGGAACCCTGACTCTGAACCTGTAACACTGCAGAGCCTCTAGACGAGCGCTTCTTTCAAGCTGGCCTGCACGTTGAAAAATATTAAAAAATCATCTAAGGCATATTTATATTATAATAACCAGGGGTACAATTTACTAGTGACCTCAAAGGTGCTAGGCTTATTGTGACTATACACAATTTTACATGTACTAAAATCATTGTATAGCTAAAATGGATTGAGATGAGTGACTGGGAGGAGAAAGTGGAAGAGACTCGTGGAAGGTCACCTGCTCATTAGAAAGCAAAGTCAGAAACTGGGGGGAGCTGAGGCATGCGAGAAGGAACTTGTGTTAGAGACAGCGTGGGGCTCCATAGTGAGACCGTGTCTCACTTTTTCCATAAACAAGAAAAAAAAAATCCTTTTTAAGACTGAACTTGCTCTATAGCATATGGCACATTGGATTTATTTTCATTTTTAAAAAGATTTTTTTTTTTTTTTTTTTGAGACAGGGTCTCCCTGTAGCCCTAGCTGTCCTGGAACTCACTAGGTAGACCAGGCTGACCTCAAACTTACAGAGATCTGCCTGCCTCTGCCTCCCAAATGTTGGAATCAAGGGCATGTGCCACCACGCCTGGCTTAAAAAGATTTTTAAAAAGATTTTATTTTATGTGTGTTTTGGCTTGCATGCATGTAAGTGCACCACCTACATGTAGGTACATGCACCACTTGCATGTAGTGCTCTCAGAGACCAGAAGAGGATGTCTGATCCCATTTAGCTGGATATAGGTGGTTGTTAGCTGCCATGTAGGTGCTAGGAACTGACTTCTGTTCCTGTGCAAGAACAGCCGGTGCTCTTAACCACTGAGCTATCTCTCTAGCCCCTCATCAGTGTTTTGACTTGCCTTTGACATGGATGTACAAGTGACAATCTACCTGCAATCCTACTTTACCCAAGGGTGGAGTTGCTGAATCTGTTATAATTCTGTGTTTAAACTTTGAGGAATGGCCATTTTGCACAGTGGCAGCACTATTTTATGTTCTCACCAAAAGTGCACCAAGTTTCCAATTCCACCTCCTCAATATTTGCTCAAGTGTCCTCCTAATGGGAAAGACGCCTTAAAGAGCTATCATTAAGAGGTAGAATACCTTAAGAGGTATTTTCATTCCTCTGGGAATCTTTTCATGTGTATATTGGCCATTGATACAGCTTATTTTTAAAAATTGGGGGCTGGAAAGATGGTTTAACAGTTACAAGCACTTGCTGCTCTTGTAGAGTTCCTAGGTTCAGTTTCCAGCACCTACATGACCACTAGCAACCATCAGGAACTCCAGTTCCAGGGTATCTCACTCCCTATTCTGGCCTCTGTGGGCATTGTATGCATGTGGTGCACTTCCATACATGCAAGCAAAACACTCATACACATAAAAAATTTTAAATGAATAAAACTTTTAAAACTTATTGAGGGCTGCACTGGTTGCCTGACAACTGCCTGTAACTCTAATTCCAGGGGATTCAGATTCAATTCGATACCCTCTTCTGGCCTCTGTGGGTACCCACACTCATGTGTACATGCACACAAATGCACACATACACATAATTAAAAATAAAAAGAAATGTTTTAAAATATCTGTTGAAGTCCTTTGCCCATTTTAAAATTGAATTTTATCTTGTTACCAGGTTGTAGGAGCTCTTGATATATTCTAGAAATCAATTTATTACCATATATATGCATTGCAAATATTTCTCCCATTTCATGGCTTAACTTTTCATTCCACTAATCAGTGCCTTTTAAGGCACATTAAAGTTTTTCTCAAATTGTTTCTTTTTTCTTTTTTCTTTTTTTTTTTTTTTAATCTTTTTGAGACAGGGTCTCCCTGTAGCCCCAGCTGTCCTGGAACTCACTATGTAGACCAGGCTGGCCTTGAAGTCACAGAGATCTGCCTGCCTCTGCCTGCCTCTGCCTCCCGAGTGCTGGGATTAAAGGCGTGTGCCACCATGCCTGGCTTTTCTCTTGTTTTTGATTATGGTGTCATATCCAAAAAGTACTGCCAATTCTAATGTCGCAAAGCTTTTCTCCTGTGCCCCATACTTTTTTTTTCTATAAGGCTGTGGGTAAGTTCATGTTTATCTTTTTGGTCCAATATGTTATATTCATTATTTACATACTGATGTTATGATATATATATATATATATATATATATATATATATATAATCTATCGTGTTGTATTTTTCCCATACTTGACAAACACAACTTCAGAAGAGAAGCATTAATTCTAGCTCAGAATTGAGTGTCTATCAGTCTATCATGGCAGGGAAGGCATGGCGGCAGGTATGAGGCCACTGGTCACATTGCATCCACAGTCAGGAAGCAGAGAGGGTGCAGGTGCTCAGCTTGTTTTCCTCCTTGTTATTCAGTTCGGGCCCCAACTTACAGAAAGGTGCCACCGCATTCAAAGTGAGTCTTCTCACCCGTCTTGAAACACCCTCAAAGACACACCTAGACACTCTTGTCTCCTAGTTTGATTCTAAATCCCATCAGGTTGAAAACCGAGGTTAACCATCACACACGTAGATATGTAATTTCCCAAAAACTATTATTGAAAAGACTGTCCTTTCTCCATTAAATGTGGATGATTTATTTGTAGCCTCTGCATTCTATTCTTTGGCCTATGGTCATTATTCACAATAAAAACATGGAAGCAACTCATGTCTGTGTCAGTGCCAAACTGTTTTGATGTCTGTGGTCTTGTGTAAGCTTTCAAATCAGGATACAAGAATCTTCCAACTTCGTTCTTTTACAAGTTTTTTTTTTCTTCTGTTCAGTGTCCCTTGAGATTCTCTATGAATTTTCAGAGTTTTCTATTTTGCATAAAACATCATTGAGATTTTTTAAATTAATTTTTAAATCTTTCTGTGGTGTGTGTGTGTGTGTGTGTGTTCATGTGTGAGAGCACAGGCATGTCATAGTCCACATGTGAAGTCAGAACACAACCTTGGGTGTTGGTCCTTGCCTTCTACCTTGTTTAAAACAGGGTCTCATATTGTTTTGAGTGTGTACACCAGGCTAGCCAGCCTTCAACCATCTGGGGAGTCTCCTGTCTCTGCCTCCCACCTTGCCATGAGAGCAGTGGTATTACAGGCACACACTACTATATACAACTTTGTGTGGGCTCTGAGGATTCGAACTCAGGTCTTCACGCTTGTGCAGCAAGCACTTTTACTCACTGAGCCATCTCCCCAACCCTGACTTAATATTTTTAGTTAACAGCAATAACATCATTGATACTTTGATAAGAATTGTATTGAATATATACACCACCCTACATAATTTTGTCATTTTAGCAATGTTGTCTTCTAATCCATGAACATGGGCATCTTTCCGTTTATTTATGACCTCTTTAGTTTCTCTCAGCAATGTTTTACAGTTTTCTTTTTTAAATATTTTATCATTTTTATTTTAAGTGTATGAGTGTATCGCCTGCACGTATGTGAGTGCACCCGTGTCATGCAATGCTGCGGAGGTCAGAAGAGGGCTTCAGATTCCCCTGGAACTGGAGTTAAGGATGGTTCGTAGTCGCCATGTGGGTGCTGGGAATCGAACCTGGGTCCTCTGCAAGAGTAGTCAGTGCTCTTAACTGCTGAGCCATCTCTCCAGCCCCTGTTTTACAGTTTTTATTGTGCAAGTCTTTCATTTCCTTGGTCAAATTAGTTCCTAACTAGTTTATTCTTTTTGATGATGCTGTAAGTAGTGTTGATTTCTTAATTTCTTCTTCAGAGTGCACTCTGCTGTATTAGAATTGCAATTAATTCTGACTGTTGACTTCATATCATGCTACTTGACTGAATAATTTTGTTGGTGTCAAAAGTTTGGGGGTGGAGTCATTAGCGTTATATACACAAGGTCAAATCACCTCTGGACACAGGCCACATTGTTTCTTTCCAAATTTGATGCTACTACTCTGCCTAGGATTTCTATGACTATGTTAGCTAGAAATGTTGAGACCCGTAACTTGCTTTATTAATACCTGGTTTTAGATGGAAAAACTACAATTTTCACCATTGAGTATTATAGTCTCTAGTTTTTCATATATTGCTTTTATTATGTTGAAGAAATATCTTTCTACCTCAAGGACAGTTTTGTTTGCATTTATTTATTTTGTGTGTGTGTGTTGTGTGTTGTGTGTGTGTATGTGTATACATGCAAACTGGTAACATAGCCTAGGTCTTGCATAGGAAAAACAAGTGTTCTACCATTGAACAACAATCCCAGCCCACAGCTGCTGGATTCTAGGCGAATGCTGTGCTACTAAGCCATACCCCCAGCCTGTCACCTCTTACCCACTCCATTTAGAAATGTCTGCAGTGGCTGTGTTCAAGGTCACTGTAATTATCCCTAATGGTTGGCAACATTTTATTATTATTATTTTTAATCATGTGTATGTGTCTCTGTTGGGCTATGCACACTTAAGTGCAGGTGCCTGTGGAGACCAGAGGTGTCAGATCCCCTGGTTACAGGCAGTCCTAAGCTTCTGAGCGTGGACGCTGGGAACCGAACTTGGGTCCTCTTCTAGAGAAATATGCGCTCTTAACCACTGAGCTATATCTCCAGCTTTCATCAGCAACATTTTTCTCTTTGCTTCTTTTTGAAACATTGCTCCCTCAACGTGCCAGTTTTTCTTTCATAGAAGTTGCTCCTCTAGCCGGGCGTGGTGGCCCACGCCTTTAGTCCCAGCACTCCGGGAGGCATACGCAGGTGGATCTCTGTGATTTCAAGACCAGCCTGGTCTACATAGTGAGTTCAGGTCAGCTGGGACTAGAGGGAGGCCCTGTCTCAAAAAGATAAAAATAAAAAATAAAAAAAGAAGTTTCTTCTTTGATGGACTCACCTGGCTCTGCCTCCTTCCTGTATCTGTAGGATTCCTCAACCTG